CGCATAGCACCACACTTCTAGCCTCACTTGCTCACCCCGTCCCACGCCCAATCCCATACTGGGATATTGGGAAGTCTGGTAAGTTAGCTTCGTCTCTCAGCCTCGCCCAACCACTCAACCTGGAAGGTCCGCGTGCATGTGGGAAAGCAGTTTGCCAAGGCTTTTTAAAAAGCCGGGTTAGGCAACTGGGTTCGGTTTGGCCCACTTCAGGCGGCTGGGATGCGGACGTCAGTTTTTCCCATGGGGAGACAGCAAAGAGACTCCAGGTCCTCAAAGCGGCGCTACAGCCTGTTGGGCCAACAAACAACACCCTTTCCCTCCCCACTCCACACCCCCGTCGGAGTGGCGGTCGGCCCAGCCCCTAAGCGATCAGGCCACGGCCCCCGGCCCGGTACGTTCTCCTCCCGGCGTAGCTCGGCCCATCTCCCCACCCGGGACTCCGCCCCCGGTCCCTCCCCTGCCCAGCAGGCTCCGGAGAGGCGGTGCCCGTGGTTGCATGGGAAGGATACTCTGGCGGGACTACAAGTCCCAGCAGCCCCAGGGGTCCCGCCCACTGGGCGGGGCTACACAGAGCAGCGAATTGGGAGGAGCCCTGGCGCTCAGGCTAGGGAACGCCTGTAACCAATCGCCGGGCGGCTCGCGACGTGTGCTGATAGGGGCGGGGAGAAGCCCTCAGGGGCCAGGACAAAAGCCGGATCCCTAGCGGCCGCGGGAGGCTGGCGCGCTCCGGAGAGTGGGCGTTGGGTCTCGGCCTGCGGAGGTAGCGCCCGGCTCGGACTCTCGCAGAGGTGAGTGGCGTCCGGCTGCTTTCCCGGGAGGGCCCCCACCTGGCCCAGGAGCTTCCTGCCTCCCTCCCGCAACCCGGAACCGCCTCCACAGAGGCCGGCTCGGTGTTAACGCACCCTCCCTGAACCTCCTTGGAAGTTTTTTTTTTTTTTGGGGGGGGGTTAGCCTTTTAGGTTAGACTTCGTCTGAGACCCCAGCCAGCAGCCACGTGCGACTGACCCCCCAACCCTGCCACCTTCCAGTTTCTGGGAGTTTGCACAGGCTTCCGCCGTCCTTGCTTCTCTTCCCCCGGTGAAATCGCACTTACTCCACGCCGGCGCCCCTCACCCCCTCCCGGCGCCGGTCCCTGAGCTTCCTCGGGCTTTATCGGGCCACCCCTTGCCCCCATCCGGTCCCCCCCACCGGATGCGGGGGAACGGGAAGTAGAGAGAACGACGGTGACCTCTCGTCCCACTCCGGCCCCTCACAAGCCGGGCTCAGGCCCTTCCTCTTAGTTCCGTGGAGTCCCCCGAGCCCCGCGCCCCAGTGCACGGAGCCACCTGGGCGTGCCGCCGCCGCCGCCACGGGCCACGCGGGGCCGGGCTGCCCGAGGCCTGGCCTCGCCGCGGGGACCTGGCCATCGAGTGGCGATGCAGGAGGGACCCTCCTCGCGCTTCGGTGGTGCCGTCGGGCCAAGCCTCTAAGCGACAGATGGCCGGGGTGCCCGTCTCCCTCCTCACCCTTGGCGCCGACGCCCGCCCGCCAAGGTTGGCCGAAGCCAGGTCCTCAAGGGGCCGGAGGATGCCGCCGCCGCCGCCGCCCTCCTGGCGGGCCTGGCCCGGGGCCAGTCCCCCGCGCCCGCTGCCCTCTCCAACCTTGGCAGATACTGTGTGCGGTTCCACGGAGTTATGCATGCCGTTGGGTGGTCCTCCGCCGTCTGCCCGGGAAGAGGGTTTTGGAGAGAATGGTGGGGAGCAGTGCTCAGCACGGTAACGTTGCTCTGTGTTTCAGCCAGGTCAGCTCCTTGAATTTCTGAGATGGGTGAGGGACAGCTAGCCGGTAGACCCCAGCTGCCCAGACGAGTGGTTTTCACCTCTTCCAGAGCTTCTCAACTTAGTAGGCTTGGATAGGAAGATCCCTCAGGCACCCGGCAGCTGGTGTCTTCTCCCCCATTATGACACTTTGTAAGGGGACGCTCAGAACTGCCCTTAAAAAACCCCAACCTTAGGATTGCTAACCTTAAAATGAGCACTTTTTATCTTTCCCAGAGAGAGACACTAAGTAGCATCCCCAGTGCTTCTGCTCCCCTGGCTGGGTCCCAGCTGTGCGTCCCTGGGAAACAGGCTCCTTTCATTCAGCCTCCCCTGTGGGCTGCTGCTGCCTTCGGTGGCTGCTGTAGATGAACTCAGCCCTGGGTCACATACCCTGTCTGCAGAAAAGACCCCATTCAGCTCATTAGGTCCCTCTTGGAGGGGTTGGGGGAGAGAGAGAGAGAGAGAGAGAGAGAGAGAATGTGTAGTGTGTGTGTAATGTGTTATAGGTTCCCAGAGAGAAAGAGAAAGAGGGAGAAAATGAATGTGTAGTGAGTGTGTAATGTAGTTTACCCACTTAACTGTTACTAAGTAACAGTTTCTCGGGCCTCACAGTAGACCCCTGAGGTCTTAGCTCTGCCCTGAAACCATCTGTCACCAGTTTGACAGCACATTCAGACTAAAATTGTGTGTGTGTGTGTGGGGGGGGGGGATCCTAAAACCCAGATTGGTATCCACTGTAAGTCTCGTTGTCACAAGCACATGTTGACTGAAGGTCTGGGGCAGTGGGATGGTAGTCACAGGTGATAGTCACAGAGAGTACCTGGAAATGCTCTGCATTATGGGGTATGTGCACTTTTTTTTTTTTTTTTTTGACTTTCTGATGCTCAGATGAGTTTGAGATTTCAAATAGGTTAAGAGCCGCTGCCCTAGAGAGACTTCAAGACCCATTGAATGATTAAACTTGTGACTTCTCTCCTCCCGTCCACCCCCTGGTTTGTGTGCCTTGGTGCCTATGCTGAGGCCATTCTTTACCTGCTCTTATTCTCTTTACTGTCCTTTAGAGGGCTTGTCCCATCTAAGCCAGACCGCTCTAGTGGCAAATCTTTTTATTTTCTATCCGGCATTACCCCCTCCTTGTGTCTTTTCCTGTCTTCTTTTGAGGACTTTATGGGGATGAGCTCTTGGATCTGGATTTGATCTGGTGCTCAAGAAAATGGTGATTTTTTTTAATTTTTTTTTTAGTTCGACTACAGAAGTCCCTTTTCTCACCCCTTCCTTTCCAAAGTCGGGTCTCTGTTTTGGCAGGTGCCGAGTTTGGGGGAGTGTCCTCCTGGGAGTCTGTCAGACCTCTCTCTGTTGGAGAGGCTTAGCTGCAGGCTTCCTCCTCCTGGATTTTCTGATCACTTGCGCCTAATGTGTCTGAACTGCTGAAGGTGGCAGAAGCTGTCCTCTCCTTTCTCTGCTTGACCTGCCCTGGGCTGCACTCTGTTTGGGAGGAGAGTGGGGGCCGGTGTACCCATCTGATTTCAGGACCAGTTTTTCTGGTCTGAGTCAAGAAGGTTGGGAAATGGAGCTGGAGCGGGTGGGGGTGGAGGACTGTGGGACAGTGGGGCCAACGGAGGCATCCCCTTCTGAAACTCCCGTTGCGATGGGGCTAGAAGTCATTTCAGGGGGAGGTCAGAAAAGGGAATGTCTTGTTTGAGCCCTTTCCCTGCTCTCCCACTTTGGGCCAGACAACCACACTGAATGCGCCTATTGTGCCTGGCCCTAGACCAGCTGGGAGGCCGAGGGAACCGGCCAAGCCAGGATTAGAACCTGAAGCTCCAGCCTGGCCGTTCGGGAGGGAGGTGCAGAGTGGCCCCGGGTACACCGGCCTTCCCTGAGCCGGGAATGTATGTTCAAACCAGCCACCTCCCGCACTCTGCCCTCCTTTATTGCACTTGCCTTTTCTCCAGCAAATTCCGCAGCTTCAGTTCCGGATCTTTGTGGGCGAGACAAGAGTGTCTTTTCATGATATGGCAAGCTCTTAGCATGATGACTTGGGTTCCTTTCTCACCCCTGTCCCTCTCCTCAACTCACTCTTGTCACTACCCATGGGAGAGAAGGGGTGTATCAGAGCAAAGTGGTGGGGAGGGGCATGAAATGGTCACACAGCCCCTTTTTTTGAGGTGAAGAGGGGACATGGCCTGTTCCTTTTAGAAATGGTCTTTTTTCTTGAGCTGAAGTGTGGGGTTTTCTGGGGACCAGGAGTAAAAGGGTTTGGGTCCCCTACTAATAGTTAGGCTTCTTGAACAAGTTATCTTAACTCCTCTGAGCTTCTGTTCCTCATCTAAGAAACAGGGTTATGAATCTCAGAGCAGCTCCCAAGGCTCACATAAGGTGAGTTTCTGTGTGCATGTGACTAAGGATGATTTCTGCCTCCTCCCCCAGCCCTGGCTCAGTTAGAAGCGACCAGTTCAGGGTGGTCCCCGGGGAGGCTCTGTTTTGCTCAAAGTTAGCAGCTGGGTGACTCAGTGGACTGAGTGGGTTGCACTGAAGGTCATAGTTCCCCACCCTGTGTCTGCTCTGAACTCAGGGGTGGGGGTGTGGTGCCCTGGGAGAAATGAGCTTTAAGATACTTTTCTCTGTTTCTCAGGGGGCCTTTCTTGCCCAACGCTAAGTAAACTTGTTGACCCGACCTTCAGCTTGCAGATGTGTGTGTGTGTGTGTGTGTGTGTGTGTGTGTGTGTGTGTGTGAAGTTGGTGAATCTGGGTGTGGGGGAGACAAAACCTGTAGGGGGAGTCAGACCAGCATTGCACAAGTTGGCTGCTCTCCCCACAGGTCACAGAACCAAAGGGAGTGTTTCAGTGTCTGTGTGCCCACCTTGGGTGGGACCAGCACTGAGGTTTGGGTCATACCACTGATAATGCTGTTCTCCCCATCCATCTGCCTTGGTTGTAGGGTGAGTGTTGGCATGAGTGAGCTGGTTTGCCTAGAGGGAGTAGAGATAGGATTGAGGCCAAGGGTCAGAGAGGAAAGGCCAGCCTTCTTACCATCTTCCCTCCCCCACCATTTCCTGATCCTCCTCTGCCCTCTGGAGAAGGGCTGAGCTCTGGCTGTACTGTCTGGGTAGCTGGGTGTGCGACTGCCCTGCTGGAGCAGACAGGGCTTCCATTTTCTGCCCCTTCTGACCAACAGGTAGAGCAGGTCCCTCTGCAGCCATGTCGGCCAAGGCGATTTCAGAGCAGACGGGCAAAGAACTCCTTTACAAGTTCATCTGCACCACCTCGGCGATCCAGAACAGGTTCAAGTATGCCCGGGTCACCCCTGACACAGACTGGGCCCGCCTGCTGCAAGACCATCCCTGGCTGCTCACCCAGGTGAGTTTGTCCCTATTGGACCCTTCATCCAGGCCGAGTTCGAGAGAAAGCAGCCAGTTCGAGAGAAAGCAGTCACTGCTACTCCACCTTCTCTTTCCTTGCTCTAAATACAAACTCCTCTCATTCCAGAGCCTGGTGGTCAAGCCAGACCAGCTGATCAAACGGCGTGGCAAGCTGGGCCTAGTTGGGGTCAACCTCACTCTGGATGGCGTCAAGTCCTGGCTGAAGCCGCGGCTGGGACAGGAAACCACTGTGAGTCTGGGCATAGGGTTGGGGTGGCCGTGCTGTGGTTGCAGAAGCAAACATGGTCACTCTAGATTAGTAACTGTATAGGTGACCCCACACTGGTAAGATTGCAGCTAGGGGAAGGCAGAGTCCTGTGGAGCCGACTTAGCAGGGCCAGACTTGGTGCTCGTTCCCACCTCCCCCATCAGGGAATGGCCAGATGTGCTGCAAAAGTGACTCCAGTACAATTCGAGAGCCACGTGGAAGTGGTCTTCATTTATATTGGCAATCTGAGATGGGGCTCTGAGGCCCATTCTGGGAATTTCTTTCTTTTCAACTTCCACAAAGGTCTTGGTAGCTTGTCGTGACATGGAAATCCTAAGAGGGTGGGTAAAAAAGTTGAAGAAGAGAGATGCAGAATCATTGAAGCAGAGGTATGACTTGGCCAAGAATCTAGAACAGGACAGTTAATAACACTGATGAGTAAATTAAATTAAATTCTTGGCTTCTCCTGGCTTGGTGTATAATCTCATCGCTGTAGATGAGAGAGCTAAAGTGAAATATGATTTGGGAAGGTTAAAAGATGCTCGGAAATAAAATTGCATTTCTTCTCACTCCCAAAGGGAGTTGGAGAATTGAGGGGAGGATGTGCCGATGGCTTAGCCTGGGGAGATTGTGCCACCCACACCTGGCTTTGTCCCCTCTGGGGTGACCGTGGACTGGGAATGATTTTCTGTGGCTCCTCGGAAATAGGATGAAGGTGGTGGTGGAGTCATCCTCCTCTCTGATTGGGCTTCCTTAAATCAGCTCTTCGCCCTAATTTTGTTCTTGGCCCTATAGGTAACGAGGGGATCATGAAGTTGTACATGAGCCGGGGGTGGGGATCTTGACCCTTGTGCTTCCAGGGAAAGGTCAGCAGGATTGGGGGCTGAGCAGTGTCCCCTGGGAAGTCCTCATGCTCCCTTCTCCTCAGCTGGCTGTGGAGGGCATGTCAGAGCGTCTGAGCTGGCAGTAGCTCTGGCCCAGGAGCAGCTCATTACCACTGATGGATCACTGTCTGGTCTCTGACTCAGCGTGATGCATGGGCAGGCAGGGGGTTCAGGACACTGGGATGAGGGATGTCTGCTTTGGCTGCCGCCAGGGATCCACTCTCACTGATTAGCTCTGCAGGCCTGTTGTCGTCAGTGATGAAAGTCTGTGTGGAAAAGTTTTTCCCGTCAAGCTCTTGCTCTCCTCTTCTCGCACCCTCCCGCCCCCACCATGGTTCCCCGTGCCTGACTGGTCCTCAGGCTGGCTCTCCTGCCTGAGCTCTGAGATAGCATGGATTTGTCTGAGCTCTAATTTGTGTGATGGCAGGGAGGGAGGTGACTCCCCATCTGTGTGCTTTTGGGGGTGAGACAGTGTTGCAGCTCATTTATCACCCTCCAGAGGAGGCAGAAAAAGAATACGCAAAGTCAGTACAGGCTAAGTGTGGCTGCACCAGGGCAAGCAGAGGGAAAAGGGGATCTCATGAGGACTTCTTGAGCTAGGGCAGTGATTTTCAACCTTTTTCATCTCGGGGGACACAAAGTCATTACTGAAATTCTGCATCACACCAAAATATATATATATATTTTGCCAATCCCACACAAAAAAAGGTATAATTTTGATTAATTCCCACTGGACGGCTATTGTGTTGGCTGTTGTCATTTTTCTATTTGACAACCTAAGGGAAAAGAGGTCAGTGCCCCTGACTAAATAGTTATTACATGTCTTAAATTTTTTTGCAGCACAGTTGATGAAAATCGCTAGGTTGGGGTCTGTGGCCCGATTGCCCTGGTTTCTGAAAAAATCTCGCTGAGTGTGGTGGTGGTAGTGCTTGGGCTCCACCTCTGAAGGGACTTTGGGGTGGAGGGAGCACAGGGTGCTTCCTCCTTTTGCCCTCAGGAGGAAGACATGCCGTCCATCTAAGCTTTATCTCCTGCCATCTCTGTAGGTGGGCAAGGCCAAAGGCTTTCTCAAGAACTTCCTGATCGAGCCCTTTGTTCCGCACAGTCAGGTACGTGTGAGGTGGCTCCAAGCTGGGCCTTCTCCCTCCTGGAGCCTTCAGTTTATTGACCCTAAAGTGATGAAAGGGGAAATTAAGCTGCTGGAGAAAAGTCAAAGGAACCAGAGTCTCAGAAGCTGCACTGAGGGCCTGTGGGGCCTGCGGAGCGGGGAGTCCAGAGATGAAGGAAGGGCTTAGTTTGCACCAGGAGGAATCAGGCCTGGTGGCTTCCTGTGCTGAGATGAGAAAGACTTGAAGGCAGAACCCCCTTCCCCAGATTGGGTCCTGCTGGCTGAGGGTGGACTGTCAGCGAGCCAGGCAGAGGCCTCTTCTCTCCACTTGTCCCCTGGGGAGGAGGAGTGGTAAACAGGTCTCCCTTGGTGAGTGTTTTTAGAAATGACACCACAGGGGCTGGGCTCCTTGTCCTCCGTTCAGTGCCCCCACCCACCTGGTGCTCTTGTCCCCGCAAGGCGGAGGAGTTCTACGTCTGCATCTATGCTACCCGACAAGGGGACTACGTCCTGTTCCACCACGAAGGAGGGGTGGACGTGGGCGATGTGGACACCAAAGCCAAGAAACTGCTTGTCGGGGTGGACGAGAAGCTGGATCCTGAGGACGTCAAGGAGCACCTGTTGGTCCATGCCCCCGGAGACAAGAAAGAGTTGAGTGAGAGGGTCTGCAGGGACGTGGCAGGGGGGAATAGGGAAGGCTCTCAGGCTCTGGGCACGGCGCAGGGAAAGCAGAGTGGTCTTCTCTATCTGGGTGGCAGGCGCGCACACAGCCCCGTATCCCCACCCTCCACCCCAGGTCCCAAAGAGGACAGCTGGCTGGCTCAGACTGAAATATGCCGTCGGCGTCCCTCACCTTGCCCCTGTCTGTCTGGTGCCTCCTCCTCTGGCTCCCTGCCTGACAGCTCCTTTCCGCCTCAGTGGCCGAAGAGTGATGTCCAAGGAGTGGGCTTGGCAGAGGACAGCAAAAGGGTTGGCGGGGTGTCAGGGTGGCAGAAGTGGAGCTGTCAGCGGCAGTGGGTGACATTGCTGCTGAGCCTGCTCATTGATGGATGGATTGTCTCTACCCCTCCCCCTTTAGGATTCTGGCCAGCTTTATCTCTGGTCTCTTCAATTTCTATGAGGATCTGTACTTCACCTACCTCGAGATCAACCCCCTTGGTAACTGGGTCTGGGGGTGTGGGGTGTGGTGGGACATGGTCATTGGTCGCAGGGCTCCAGTGCCCACAGTAATCCTGGCATTTGCATGTGGAGGCAGTGCAGACAGGTGTGCGCAGAGAGATCTCCCAGCTCCCCGAGGGAAGGCTCCTGCGTCTGAGCTCTCAAAGGACTGGTTATTCCTCCTTAACCAGCTCCAGCTTCTTTCTTGGGCCTTAATTTGTTCTGGTTTTGGTCTGAGGGCTCTGTGGCCATGTCTGCCAGTAGGTTAGGCTAGGCTGTTTGCCTACGACCAGGGCTGCCTCTGCACTGGTCTGACCTTTTAGGCTGTTATTTCCTCTCTGTGCCCTCAGAGCACCCCTCGCCCCCTCCCTCTAGGAGCTGGTCAATCATTGATCCCCAAGACCAGGGGGTCCAAGCCTCTCAGGCAGGGAAGGAGGCAGGTGGTGTGATCTGGCTCTGGCCAGGGCTTCTGAGGGCAAAGTCCTACTTCCAGATGCAGCTGGGGATACAGTCCCTCTAATGGACCAGATGGCTCTGTGCTAACTTAATTAGCTAAATGGCCCTGGGGAGAGGGAAGATAGATGTCCAGTGAGGTGGCAATGAATGAACCCTGCTGGCGTGGGGCCCAGTGTACCCTCACGCCTTCCCACCCCCACCGAACAGTGAGGCTTCCTGGCAAGACTGCAAAAGCCCAAATGTGCATACCTAGAGGGTCTTTTGACAGCAACCTATACCTTTAAACATCTTTTAAATCATGGATGGGTGAATATTTAAGGCACATTGTGTAGCATTTTATAGAAAATGTTTAAAAATTGCCATAGCGACTTTCCTATTATATTACCTATAGGACTCCTAGGGTTTGTTTTTTTTCTTTGATGGTGGGAAGCTGTGTTATCATAAGAGTTATTCTGGTTTCTTGCCGAATGAGGAAGTCGGCCTGTATGAGAGCTGGACCGTGGGAGTGGTGTGTGGGGAATCCTGGGGAGGGGTTTGGAGGCTAGTGGTCATCTCTGCTTGGGGCCAGTGTCCGATTGCTTCTGCTTTTCTCGCAGTTGTGACCAAAGATGGCGTCTACGTGCTTGACTTGGCAGCCAAAGTGGATGCCACCGCTGACTACATCTGCAAAGTGAAATGGGGTGATATAGAGTTCCCTCCCCCCTTTGGACGGGAGGCTTATCCAGAGGTAAGCTGCTTTGGGGAGGAGATGGAGAGTGTTGGGGGCGGGGGGAGGGTGACTAATCTCAGATGAGCAGTTGGCCTCATAGTGGGCTATATATTTGGCAGGGAAAGGAAGGTCGGGAGCCATTTAATTTTTTTAAAACTCCAAAGGGGATGGGAGGTGGGAGGCAGCCAAGCCTCTGAATCCCGGCCAGAAATCCTTTTAGACTTCTCTCGCAATCAGCCTCCCGGGGCTCTTAGCTTGATTTGTTACTTCTTGGTCATTCCGAGTGGCCCCCCTTAATCCTGTCAGAAAGGTAGCTCTCTCTGCCACTTGCTGAGAATTTTAATTGCTCCTTTTCTCCCCATCCTCTCTGAGATCTCACAGCAGAATCGGGCTTGCAGGGCATGACGTAACCCAGGCCAGTGGAAGAGGCCGGGCTGGCAGAGGGCTAGGGTCTATGGAGGGAGAGGGTGGTGTGATGTAGGCTACAGATGCTGGGAGTGGGGGCTGTTGTAGAAGCAGTGACATAACCAAGTCTTGGGACTTGGATAGAGGGTCAAGGACTTGAAGTCGGAGATAAAAGAATTGGGAAATTTGCCCTCAGTGGTGACAGTGGAGATGGGTGGTTTTTGTATTGAAGATGCCATCATGTTTTGTCCCCCCTTTTTTCTGGCTCTGTTCAGGCAAATGAGGACCTCTTCATGTGTCTTCAGGGAAAGGGGAGGGAGGAAGAGTCCTGATGTCTGGGACCTTGGTGAAGGGGATGCCCACAGGGCCCACCTGTTGTTGTCTGATCCCTAGGAAGCTTACATTGCAGACCTGGATGCCAAAAGTGGGGCGAGCCTGAAGCTGACCTTGCTGAACCCCAAAGGGAGGATCTGGACCATGGTGGCTGGAGGTGGTGCCTCCGTCGTGTACAGGTGACTGAGGGACTACTAAAGGTGCCAGTTGGGTCACATGTTCACAGCCTGGATCGAGCCTCACCTGGAGATCTCTAGTTCCTTTCAGTGGTGCAGAGCAGGAATCGAGGGCCCACCAGAGGGGCCCATGCACCTTCCTGTTTGCTTCAAAATGAAGTTATTTTGATTAGTTTTAGTACTTGGAATTAGTAATATGGATTCCACAGCAAATACAGAAAAACGAACCAGAAAGTGAATGTTGCTGTGTCCCCACCGGTCACCAGGTGAACATACTTTTCACTCGGTGGAGATGTTGGGCTCCTAGTCCTCACCCTTTGTGATGATGGCTGGTTTTCCACTTGAAGCCCAATAGTCCTCTCCTTTCTGGGCTGTGATGGGCCACACCCCTTCCTGCTTGGCTGGGCTTCCCTCTGGCTGCAGCAGTTTTCCTTCCCATTGGGCGGCCTGGCAGGGACGTGTGGAATGGGCACTTTTCCTTTGTGTTGGGAGATGCTCTTTGTTTACTTTATTTGCCATTGTCAGTCAGTCCAGGGCCCCACGGTGGCCCAGCGCTGGCAGAGTGCATTGCCTGGGAGAGCCTTGAAGTGTCACTTGTGGGGCTTGAGGGTCTGAGGTCTGAAGGTCAGTTCCATAGTCTGACTTTAGGGCTTTGGAGGCGCCTGCGTGCCCTCCCAGTCACCAGACTGCCACCCTCTGCTGCTAGAGTTGGAGCCAGCACTGACTTTCCTATCTCCCTGGCAGTGACACCATCTGCGATCTAGGGGGTGTCAATGAGCTGGCAAACTACGGGGAGTACTCGGGCGCCCCCAGCGAGCAGCAGACCTATGACTATGCCAAGACGATCCTCTCCCTCATGACCCGGGAGAAGCACCCCAATGGTGAGACTCACACGCCCCTTCCTCGGGATGGCCGAGCGTGCTACAGGGGGAACAGTTTTGGGCACGGAGATTGTGAGATTGTGGTCCTGGTACTTTGCAACACGGGGCTACTCACTTAACTTAAGGACCTCAGTTTCCCTGACTGTGCAATGGGCAGTGATAGCATCTCTCAGATGAGGGTCTGTGAGAGGATAAGGAGGTGATGTGTACTTAAAGCCCCATGAGCAGGTGCAAGCAGATGCTCTCACTCTGACCGATATAAACTGTGCTTAGTGGCCCATTTAGACATTTGTTACCTGATCCTGTCATTTCAGCCTTTTACCGCCTGTCCCGTGTTGGGGACTACACATACCAGTTAGCCTACCCTGAAGCCAGAGGGAGTGGGATTCCCACCAGGTGTATGCAGAAACCAAGTTGGGTGTCTGGATGGAATGACGTAGAGATTCTGTGGATCTGGGTTAACCCCCTGCTTGGTGATGGAGGTGATGGAGAGGGGGCTGATAAGGCTGTCAATCATCAGGAGACCAGCCTGTTTCTCCTACCTCTATACTGATACCTCCTAACAGTTGGGAGACCCTTGCTCAGTGGAGAGAACTCTCAGTTGGCTTTCTGATAAGATGCTCAGGTCTGTCTTTCTAACCCTTTTTGATTTCTCTTACTCCAAACCCAGGCAAGATCCTCATCATTGGAGGCAGCATCGCGAACTTCACTAATGTGGCTGCCACATTCAAGGTAATCTGCCATAGTGACTGCAGTTTCTGAGGAGCATGGGTTTGGAGGAACCAGGAAAGGGAGGTCCTCACAAGCAAATTTAAGACAGGTGCAAGTTCCCATGGCTTACCCATTCCAGAGAGAGGCTCTTGGTTCAGGGTTCCTTGTGGCGGCTGCAGAAGCTGTGTCTGGATCTGAAGCTGTGTCTCTGGGCAAGCAGCTGGCACTCGCTGGGCCATAATGCTTCCATCTGAGCTGTGGGGAGAAGGTGAAATTCTGCCATCCCCCCTTTCAGGACTAGTTCTTAAAGAAGTATCTTAATGGACCCTCATTTTCAACGCTCCACTGTGAGACGGGTTCTCTCCAACTCCTAGTCTTTCGTCTCTCAGTCATCAGTCTCCTCTCCAAAATGTCAGAATGAGGAAAGTGTTTTTACGACCTGGAGCTCCTGGTTATCTAGCCAGGGGCCCGTCAGCCTGATCCCTGTGCACAGGTCAGGGCTATGGGCACCGTTTTAAAAGTGACGGGGTCAACAAGGATGACAGAGGTAACATGTCTCAAGAATCATTCCTTTCAAGGTAGCCATCCGAGGAGGCCATTATTATTCCAGTTAGATGCTCACTGAAGCTGTTCAAAAGAATGTGCCCCACCTGGTACTTTTCACATAGGTTTTAAGAATAATGAATACATAAATGTCAACCTTAAACGTCTGAGCTCTTAAGATGTGGAGGACCAGGTCTCATCAGTCTGCCTAAAACGGGTCCCTAATTGGACCCTATTCAGCAGACAAATCTGAAACAGATCAATCTCAACTGCTTTGTTTTAACTGCTGAGCAATCCCATAATAAAGCCAGCCCAGGTGATAAGGGTGGTGAGGTCTGGGACAGGAATTGTGCATAAGGCCTTCGGTGACAGAAATTAGACTCCTGGCTCAGTATACTCCCTCCATCTGGAAAGACAAAATGGGTACACACCTGTACATTCTCTCTTATTTCCAAACTCGATACCCATTGCAGGGGCTGTTGCCCTAAATTTCTTGAAGAAGCTTTTGCAGGACATAGACTGTATTTTTTTTTTTTTTTTTTTTTTAATTTGTTATTCCTTACCCAAGGATATGTTTAGAGAGAGGAAGGGAAAAAGAGAGAGAGAGAGAAACATCAAGGATGAGAATCATTGATGTGCTGCCTCCTGCACATTCCCTACTGGGGATCAAGCCTGTAACCCCAGCATGTGCTCTGACCAGAAATTGAACCGTGATCCTGAGTCACGGGTTGACGCCCAGCCACTGAGCTACTACACCACTCGGGCATTATGGCTGCCTGACTTGTAATCACATGTCTCTCTGTCCCTTTGTACTTCCAGGGCATCGTGAGAGCGATTCGAGATTACCAGGGCCCCCTGAAGGAACATGAGGTCAAAATCTTTGTCCGAAGAGGTGGCCCCAACTATCAGGAGGGCTTACGGGTGATGGGAGAAGTTGGTAAGATGGGAACCTTTTCTTTCCCTCCCTCCCTGAGCGTCGGTGGCCTGCTTCCTTGGGATTCCTACAGGAGTTAGTCTGTAAACACTTGTGTGCTCTCCCGCTCCCCTCTCTGGATATGCAGCTCGCTTCTACTTCCACTTTCTGCCCTCAGTATAGACCTGTCCTAAACTTCAGAATGGGCAGTAATGCATTTTCTTTTTCTTTTTAAAAAAAAAAATATATATATATATATTTTATTGACTTTTTACAGAGAGGAAGGGAGAGGGATAGAGAGTTTGAAACATCGATGAGAGGGAAACATCGATCAGCTGCTTCCTGCACCCCCGCCCCACTGGGGATGTGCCCCTAACCTAGGTCCGCAGGTCGACGCTCTATCCACTGAGCCAAATGGGTCAGGGCAGTAACGCATTTTCCTTCAGTTATTTGTTTAACAAATATTCAGGGGGAACATCTACTCTCTGGTTAGCACTGCGGTTACAGCTACTGCAGGATGCATGGCAGACAGCGTGGCCCTTGTGCACTTGAGGACGTTGGCTGTAATGTCAGGTTCGCTAAGTGCATGAAGGAAGACATCAGGGTGAAGGGGGAGTGTGTGTGGGAGGGGACGGGCAGTTTTTGCGGGGTGATCAGAGAATGCTTGACTGGATAGGTGACCTGGAAAAGAGGAGGGAGCAGGCCAGGGGTGACTGTCAGCAAAGGAAAGGGCAGGTTGAAGGCCCTGAAGTGGGAGTGTGTCCACGTGTGCAGGCCCCATGGGGGTGGCTGTGGGATGAGGCTGGGTGTTGGAACTGGAGGGGCAGCGGGTGTAGGCATGTGAGGCTAGTACAGGTCCTAGGAAATCCTTGGCTTTGACCCTGGGTTGACAGCTGTGGGGAGACTTTGGCCTGAGGAGTGACACAGTTTGACTTAGGTAACAGGAGGCTGCAGCAGAGCCCAGGACAGTGGTGGCCTGGATGTGAGGGGTGAGGGGGCAAGGCTCTGGTAACTGGTAGAAAAGGAGAGCTGTGCCCCTCGCTGAGCTTAGGGAGGAGGGGGTAAAGGCCTACCACTCAGTGTTTTTAAGAAGTCTGGGACCACATCTTGTCAGTCAGGACTACAATCAGGTCTCCCTAAGTTGACCTGATCGAACCTGGAACCCGTGAGCATTGGGACCAGCAGTTTTGGTCTTGGGTAAAATGCAGCCCTCATTGCCAAGAGCAGTGGTGTGTGGAGCAGAGGTTCATGTGAAGTGCCTGAGGCTTTTGCTAGTGAGTGATTGGAGAGACAAAATCTTCTCATCTTCCCAGTTTTCCAAATCTGGTGTCCATCGCAAACACCAAACCTACCTCAGTCAGTTGAAGCAGTGCCAAATCCTCATTGCCCCCCAGAACTGAGTGCCTGCCATGGTCCCAGCCTTCAGGCCAGCACAGTGAATGTCACTCAGTCACAGTTGAGACATTAAACAAGTAAACAATTATTGGAATAAGATGCCGTCAGGGCTCTTTGCGGTGAAGCAAGCAGGGTGGTGTGGAGAAGAGCAGGTTTCAAGGTCATCGGGAGGAGGCACTTGAGCTGAATGACCAGAACAGCTGGGTGAAGGTCTGGGATGAGAGCTCCATGTGGAGGAAGGAGCAGGGGCCAGGCCCCGGAGGGGCCATGTGAGGTCGGGGTGGGAGAGCCAGGGTCTATCTAGGCTGTGAACGGGAGGAGTGCAGACTCTGATGCTGCTTGTGCTCACAGGTTCGTTTGCTGGTGAAGATGTGACAGCTGACTGTGCTGCAGACTTGGTCTTGCACAGGAAGTGCCAGGCATCAGGCAGGACCTTACAGGACCTTTGCAGAGTTGTGTGGACTTGGGCCCTTATTTGAAGACTTGAATGACGGACTCTCTTCCTTCCTTCACAGGGAAGACCACTGGGATCCCCATCCATGTGTTTGGCACCGAGACTCACATGACAGCCATTGTGGGCATGGCCTTGGGCCACCGTCCCATCCCCAATCAGCCGCCCACAGCCGCCCACACTGCGAACTTCCTTCTCAACGCCAGTGGGAGCACATCGGTAGGTGCCCGCTGGCCTCTACCATAAAGCCTGCCATGCTATTTTTGTCAGCCCCTCACACCCCCATCCCATCCAGAACATGGTGCCCCTCCTCTGTCCCTAGCCATTTGGGGACATTGGGGAAACGGAGGGGGAGGGGCGGCTGTGGTACTACATGGTTGGTTTCTGGATTTCGGCCAGTTTTTTTTCTATGCCAGCCAAGGTAGTATAATGGAAAGATCAGGTTTTTTTTAAAAAAATCAGACCCGAGTTCAAATCCTGCTGTGGGTGGGAGTTTGGCAGTTATGCCTGCTCAGAGCCTCAGTTTGCTTACCTGCAGCCTGGAGACAATTCTGATTCCTGTCTCCGAAGGCTGTTAGGATAGCGCTTTGGAAGCAGCTTATAAAGAACTGCTGTGATAAGTTCTTGTTCCCTGATTTTTCTGGGGCCTCAAGGACCAATGGCTCTTTCCCCATGGGCTGCCTGTGAGTCTTCCTCCCTCTCTTTGTCTCACCCCAGGCTGCAGCCCTCAGCAGGACTGCATCTTTTTCCGAGTCCAGGGCAGATGAGGTGGCACCTGCAAAGAAGGCCAAGCCGGCCGTGCCACCAGGTAACTCCCAGCGGTTTCCGGTCCTCCCTGCCTCCTTCCCTTCCTGGGCCTCGCTGCATCAGCAGCGGTGAGGGAAGGGGCTGGGGCTTTGCTGTGAGAGTGGGCATGGTGCGTGAGGTGGGAACAGATGGGAGGACGCGCTGAGCCTTCCCAGTGGTCTCCCCTGGTGCTGAGGATTCATGCTGTACCTGGGTCACTTCACTCCCCACTGTTTCTCTTCTTCCCCCTACTTCCTGTGGGCAGGTGTGATCTGGGCAGGGAGGTTATGGAGGAGACAGGGTTACAAAAATTCCAGGAGGTGGGCAGGTCTCCCAGACTCTCCTCCCAAGTGGAGGGCAGAACAGGCTCCCGGAAATCGGTAGCCCCTGCCCACCCCATCATCCTGGGGCTCCTACAAAGACACTCCTTTCCATCACAAGGACTCCGCTGTCTACCACCCCATCTGTACTTTGCCTCCTTTGTCTCCATCCTCTGACTTACCAGAGATGTGATCCTGGCCAGCTAGCCCTGACAACCAGCGTTCAGTAACTAGCTTTTGGGCTGGTGTGGCCTGTGTACCCTCCCCTAGTACACACCGACAGAGAGTGCCTGAGGCATTTTGTGAAATAGAGACACTGGCTCCAGGCACCAGATTTGGAAACTACTGTCCTGCAGTTCCCAAACCCACAGCGCAGAATGGCAGGTCCCACCCAGTCGGCCTCATCATTGTGTGCTTTGTAGGGAAGAGGGACTGGTATTAAGAGGCTGGGACCGGGCCAGCTGTCCCTTCAGAGGCCCGGGAGTGCGGGGGGCAGAGATTCAGTCTTCAGCATACCCTCTAAGCCTTCGTGTCCCTCCTGTCCCCCTTTGGCCCCTGGCTCTTTCTCGCTTTCGCTCTGCTGATCAGTGCTGTCTTCTCTTATGCTGGCCTTCCTCCTGTCTCTTGTGGAATAGATGAGAGATGGTGAGGGCGTCAACCTTGCCAGGCTTGTCCAGGGGACCCTTCCCTATTCCCACCCTCTCCCTCCAAAGCCTCCAGCCATCAGCAGGTCACTCAGTTGCCTTGGTCATTTTCTTTGACAGATTCAGTCCCAAGTTCAAGATCCCTGCAAGGTAGGACGCCCCTGCCCTGCCCAAATCTGCGTGTGACTTGTTAGTGGGTCTCACTAACCATTTGCTTTGTTTCCCCTTCCCGTTGGGTTGCAGTGCTGTGTGGTATGTTTTATTCCTGCCTCGATGTGGTCTGCCCCCAAGCCCTAGTCTTGGCTCTCTCGCCCTTCCCACTTCTGTTCAGTACAGGCCCTGACTCAGTGTTCTCCTGGCCATGTGGCTGTCTCTGGCTCAAAACTTGAGGGTGAGGGGATGAAGAGCCAGGCCCACAGCTTGGAGATTGGAGTAGTGCTGAGGAGAGAGAATCCTCCTGGGAAGGAAGGAGCCATCAAACCAAAGGGGAAGGGGCAGAGCCCAGAGAGTGAGGACAAGAGCCATGGTCCTCCCCGATTCTCATCAACATCTGATGGTTTCATTTCTTACCTTCCTCTCCTCGGCCTCACCACTGCTGACTTTATCCCAGGGCTGTCAAGCTCAGGTTTCCCTAGGGTTTGGGTGGGAGATGGGATAGGGCAGGAGAGGTCTATTTAGGATAGGCGCTCTCTGCATGTCCTCACCCAGAACACTCCTGCTCACCTGCTCACAGCCTCAGGACTGCCTTTAATTTCTTGACTTGCACAGCCTGGGAGATTTTACCCTGGGGAAGGGGAGTCTTCTGATGATATTTGACCCCTTTCTTACTCAGGGGTGGGGAGGAGAAGGAATAACTAGACAGGGTTACTTATGCCCCCTCAGAAAGGCCAGCAGTCCCTACACCATCTGGCAAGACCCATTGTTCCCTAACAGGCACGATCTGAGGCTGAGCTGTGCAGAGAGAATGGGCTACTCTCGTTCTAAGAGCTCGTCCACCCGAGGAAGGAGTTGATGCTCACTGTCACCCCAGCTGAGCTGAGAAGTGGGAGGGGAAGGACAGCTTGTACCAGGGAGGGCCCTCCCCTCAGCGGTCTGGAGGAGGAGCCTAGTGGGGGCTCTTAGCCCCAGAGCAGGTTTCCCTCTGGGGTCTCCTTGCTGCTGGTGGGCTGAGGATTGCCCCCATTGGCTTTGGCTCCTCTGTACAAGGAGGTGAGCACTCTGGTCCTGCCCTTTTCGTGCTGGAGGTGTAGAGACCTCAGGCTTTGTCTGATTCCTGTCGCCTCTTGGACAGAGAGATGTGTGAATGTGCGCACCCTGACTCCATGTGGGCTCCCTCGAGGACGGGAGTGGCAGGGCTTCTCTTCTTCCTCACTTGCACAATTGAGCTGTCATCCTGGCTCTGATGCTGGATGACCTAGGATCTGAGTCATCTGGCATCTCTGGGCTTCAATTTCCTGGGATTGAGAAGTGACGGTACTGGATTAGGTGGCTTCGCTTTTCTGTGATCTCATGTCTTGTCAGAATCCAGTTGGGTCCGGTGACAGTAAATCCCGGGTATTTGCAACAACAGGAGCCTGTGTCATGAGAAGCTTATGGCTGTGATGGAAGAGGCGGGCTTGCGGAGATGAGAATTTTGTATGCCTTGGGAAATTGAGCATTAAGGGGGGGAAAAAAAAAAAAAAAAAATATATATATATATATATATATATATATATATATTTTTTTTTTTTTTTTTTTAATTGATTTCAGAGAGGAAGCCAGAGGGGGAGAGAGATAAAAACCTCAGTGATGAGAGAGGCTCATTGATTGGCTGTCTCCTGCCCTCCCCTACTAGGGATCAAGCCCACAACCCGGGCATGTGCCCTTGACTGGAGTTGAACCTGGGGCCCTGAGCCAAACCAGCTAGAGCTTAAATTAATTTAACCAGACCTTGAACTTGGTTAGTCAAGTCTGCATTAGTACAGTAGGTTCATTAATGCCAGATACCACTGAGCTTGGTGCACTGTTTTTTCCTGAGGGCTACTTTCTTAGCACTTCAGGGAAGGGAGGGTGAGGTCACCTGCCTGAGGGTGGTGAAGGGGCCTTTTTCTCCAACACTGAGGAATCCACTTCTGCCAGATGTTTTGTTCTTTTCTTTTGCCCCCACCCCTTTCCTGCTAGCCAGAGAGCCCATCCAAGAGCATTGTTCTGGGCAGGAAAGAGCCACCTAGTTGAGGGAGGAGAACAGGAGGAATAGGCAGGGTATTGCTCCCGCCTTGCCCGTGCCAGAGGCTGGCCAGAACCGAGAGATAAGGCTGAGCAAACCTCTTCATTGGACCTGCACTGACCTAGAATTGTGAGGATTCAGGTCCTGATGTAAGGTGGTTTATGTCCTGATTTTGAGGTGATAAGGCTTGTGGAGGGTTGTGGAACACCCTGCGTTCACCAAAATTTTCCAGTGACTTTAACAATAATTTATCAAGTGCCCATTTGCATATGACCAGGAGGCTGATTACATACATGCCTTTCCTGTGAAATTGAGTAGGCCCTGTAGGAATTCTCTGGGGCCCTTCTTTGCATTGGGAGTCCTATCTCTGTGTGTTTCTGAGCTGTTGACTAGCCAGGCAAATCTCCTGAGTTCTTTACTTTCTGCCACCTCTGTCCAGAAGAAATTGAGGCCACCTCTTCCCCAAGTTCTCAGAACTCCATCCTCTTAACCTTCCTTTGTGGTTTTGATCAGCCACCCTCCCTGGACTTGGCATGGAGGGGTCTGGCAGATAACCCTGCCCCTGCGAGTCTCACCGGGGTGTGTGCTCTTGGTGCACTCGCTGTGTTTTTGCCCAGCAGGAAAGAGCGCCACCCTCTTCAGCAACCACACCAAGGCCATTGTGTGGGGCATGCAGACCAGGGCTGTGCAAGGCATGCTGGACTTTGACTACGTCTGCTCCCGAGACCAGCCCTCGGTGGCTGCCATGGTCTACCCTTTCACGTGAGTCATGCCACCCCAGGAAGGCTGCAGATGGCTGCCAAGTGGCGTTTTCTCATCTAATCTCCCTGACTGAGACTGAGCTGGGGAGCAGCTCACTTTTCCCCTTTGCTGGGGAAGCGACTGGGGTGAGCCATATTCTTGAAGGGTCTTTTCCAGTAGCTGAGGGCAGAACCCTGCCTTTCCACCTTTTAGATGAAGCTCCTCCCTGGTGGACCCCGTCCCCAACCCGGACAGGTTGTGCTGACCCCTCCTCTGCCTTCCTCACAGGGGGGACCACAAGCAGAAGTTTTACTGGGGTCACAAGGAGATCCTGATTCCTGTCTTCAAGAACATGGCTGATGCCATGAAGAAACACCCAGAGGTGGACGTGCTGATCAACTTCGCCTCTCTTCGCTCTGCCTATGACAGTACAATTGAGACCATGAATTATGCACAGGTAGTCACAGCCCTAAGGATAAACGGGGTAGTAGGAAGAGCTCCTGAGTGGTGTTCATGCTCACCGCCACCTGGGACAAAGGGCTTAGACTCAGGACTGGCAGTGTTCTGGGTGAGAGTGGTTGAGAAACTTGATCTTCAGGCGGGAGGGTAGTAACCAAGAGCAGGCGGGTTGCTCACTGGGCCAACAAGAAGTTCTGGGTATGGAGCAAATAAGTACTTCAAGTCCCATTTCTCAGAAACACAGCTGCTATGTTTGCGTACACCCTTATCCACATCTTTTCCTGGATTTGACCAAGTGGAATCTTTTACAGACTTACTTTATAATCTGTTTTCTTCAATTACTCTTTCCGCAGCATAAATACTCACTGGCAGTATCAGTTTTGCTTGTCAAGTCTGGTGATGAGCATGTTGGAGTAACATTTGTACATATCCTTAATTATTTCCGCAGAATAGATGTCTAGAGGTCAAACTGCTGCATCAGAATGAGCAGACTTTAGGCTCTTGGACCATCCTGCCCACGTGCCCTCCAGAAAAGTTGTACTGATGTAAACTCCCATCAGGAGTTTGAGAATTCCTGTTTTTCTGTACCCTTACCAACACTGAATGTTTGCGTTTTAAAAATATATATTTGACAAATTGATAGGCATTCTATTTGATTTGCAGACCTTCGGTTAAGATGAGCTTTAAAGAACATTTATTGGCCATTTCTAATCTATGACATGGACTCCCCTTTCCCCGCATTGAGGTGTTTGTCTTCTTCGTTACTGATTTGTAAGACCCCCTTAATGGAAAAAAATATTGATTCATCTGCTCATAATTATTGTCTGATTCTGGACTGGTTTGGTTCCGTGTATAACTGGAGAAGATAAACTTGTGTGGATATCTAGATGAAGCAAAAACGAAAGCGTACTTGCTAAAAACGAGTTGGATTTTTAGTCTATATTAGAGGTTGACAAACTGCAGCTGAAGGGCTAAACCCAGCCCTCTGCCTGTTACAGTCTTATTGGAACATAGCTCTGCTCATTCATTTATATATTATCTGTGGCTGTTTTCATGCTACAAAGGCAAAGTTTAGTTACGACAGAGACCACATGATCAACAAAGCATAAATACTGTTTGGCTCTTTATAGAACAGTTTGCCAGCCCTGCATGAGAGTCAGAGATGGTTCTCAATCTCTTCTGCCCACCCTCCACTTTCTCTGACTTTCTCATTTGACTGTGGAAGCAGCTCCTTTCTGGCCTTGATCTGTGAGGACATAGTGTCAGGGCACAGCAGAGAAAGCCAGAGATAGCTTCTGTGTGTGCAGGTGGGGAACAAGTGTCTGAGTCTTGTGAATTTTCAAATGGGAGAGGAAAAAAAAAATCTTTGACGAGAGCAGATTTTGGGGAAACATTTGCTCCTGCTTGGTTCCTGAATCACTGTGATGTTAACAATGGAGATCAGTTTGGGATGTCCACGCCTTTCTTTTTGGGAGAGGCTTGGTGTGATCAGGTTAGGAACAGAGACTTGGGGAAAGAAGCAGTGCGTGTTACTAATTTTACTTTGTCCTTGGAGCCTGGAAGGGGACATGGGAGGTGGGTTCTTGAATGGTTGCTGCCTCTTGGTCCCGCCTGAGGTGACAAGTTAATGAGGCAGGACTGTTCCCATCCTCTAGATCCGGACCATTGCCATCATAGCTGAAGGAATCCCTGAGGCCCTCACAAGGAAGCTGATCAAGAAGGCGGACGAGAAGGGCGTGACCATCATTGGACCTGCCACAGTGAGCTTCCTCTCCACAAAGCCTTTTTTATTCTCACCCGAGGATATTTGTGCCTTTTATTTCTAGAGAGAGTGGAGGGAGGGAGGAGGGGGTGAAAAAGACAGAGAAGCCTCAGAAACATTGATGTGAGAGAGATATAACAGTTGGTTGCCTCCTGCATGCACCCAGGAAGCAAGGTATGAGGGACGTGTCCTTAACTAGGAATTAAACTCATGGCCCTTCAGTTCGAGGGCCAACACTCTAACCACTGAGCAAAATTGGCCAGGGCTATAAAGCCTTTTAAGTTCAAGGCTCTTTTAAGATGTTCTGGAAACTCACTTGTTGACTCTTTGTTTCACTTCTAAGTTGAAAAGATTTAGAGGTACCTCTTGAAAGTCAGTCTGTCCATTTCCAGTTAATTTTTTATAGGCCCACTCTCCAGTCCATATCACTGTTATAGTTTCAAGGGACTAATGAGAAGATTCGTGTTTTAAGTGTTTGTCCACTCTCATACAAACATTGCATAGTCTTTGATTATTCCTTTAACTAGAAACTAAAGAAAAATCTACCTGGAGGCTTTGTTTTTGACCAGAAGGTCTTTATTGAAGTAGAAATTGCTTTGTGAATATTTTTATTTTTGTTTTTACCTGGTTGTTACGTTAAAATTTATGTGAAAGGAAGACAAAAGGACCTTTCATCTCAGAGGCGGTGTGTGATTTTGAGCAGAGCACCTATGTTATACACCTTTTTACTGGTCATTGTCGCTCTTGTAGAGCAAAGGAGATTATTTAGCTCTGAATATACCTATCAGTAGTAAGCCATGTTTTACAAATAAGGCTTTGTGTTTTTTTTTTGTGTGTGTGTAATATCTCAAGATTCTTCTGTAGCAGGAAATCCAATGTGCAGGTGTTAGCTGTCTGGATCATTTCCTCCCCAGCCTGGCCAGACTGGCATGGGCTGGTAGTACTGGGCTTGGTGATTCTTCTGAGCTCGGTAGTCGATCTGGAGCTCACCCTTCCTCCCTGACTGCTATTTCTGCCCCTGCAGGTCGGAGGCATCAAGCCTGGGTGCTTTAAGATTGGGAATACCGGTGGGATGCTGGACAACATCCTGGCCTCTAAGCTGTACCGCCCTGGCAGCGTGGCCTATGTCTCGCGCTCTGGGGGCATGTCCAACGAGCTCAACAATATCATCTCTCGGACCACAGATGGCGTCTATGAGGGCGTGGCCATTGGCGGGGACAGGTGATCAGCGGGGGGACAAGCCCTTACTGCTTGCTACTGTTGAATTTCTGGCACACAGCTGTGTGGTTTTTTTGTGGGGTGGTGGTGAGGGGGCTTATTTGTTTTCCCAATTACAGTTGCCATTCAGTATTGTCTTAGTTCCTAGTGGGAATGATATCTTAAGTCCACTCTTGCCTTAGAACCAACATGAGCATAAGAATCAAAATACACGGAAAGGTATTTTATTATAAAAGGCATCAGGGCCTGCAGGGTAGTTCTGTGTAGTTTGAGGTGGCCATGGGGAGGCAGCAGAGTGCTGTGATTAGCAGGACTGATTTTTGAAGTCAGACCAAAGGGGTTCAAATCCCAGTTTTCCTGTTTACTAAGGGGCATCCTTGACAGGCTACTTACCCCACCCCCAGACCTCTGTCATCCTTACATATCAATCGGTGAAATAATAATGCCTACCTCATGGAGATAGTGGAGGATTAAATGAGGTCTTGTATTATAAAGTGGCTAACGGGCTGGCACTTAGTAAGTACTCAGTGTATGTTTATTGTAGCTAATAATAGTAAAAGGAAAAACTGTTGCTTTATTCTCTACTATTACCACACTCACATTTCTGGCCACCAACTGAGAAGCTCCATTCCCCATATTTAGGGATTTTTGTGGTGGCTTCATCATGATTGATTTTTATTAATTCAGTCTCCAGCCCTTTTCACCTCTCTGAAGGATTGGGAGTAGGATCGAAAGTTCCAGGCTTCTGGTCTTTCTGGTGACTAGCTCCCTCCCAGGAGCTATGCAGGAGCCCACCAAGAGTTCCTATTACCCAGGACTTCCAAGGGATTTAGGAGCTTCTGTCACCCCCATTACTCAGGAAATTAAGAGGTTTTTAGGAGCTCAGTGTCAGCAACGTGGCTCAAGGATCACCCACTAAAACAAAAGAGGCTCCTGTCACTCAGGAGGTCACAGGGTTGTAGGAGCTGTGTCAGGAACTAGGCACAGAGAACAATGTATATATTTGTTCTTACTTCACAAATAGTGTCATTCCTTTTGTTGGTGGGAACAATAATCAGTGGTACTTAATATCCTCATAAACCTCAGCCATTGCCGATTACCATTATTACTACTGCTACTCTGTAGCTCGGAACCAAAAGCTGTTGGGAGGCTGGGTCACCTGGTCAGTGTCCCTGGCTCCCCCACGTCATTCCAGATGGGACTCCTGGGTGAGGAAGCGCCCCTGCCGGTCCTCAGGGTATGGGTACACATTCATCCTCAGTTGCAATCAGCTGAAGGCAGGCCTGAGGCCGGAGGGGGCTCATCCACGGGGCAGGCAAGGTGGCTCCTCTCTCAGTCTCCAGGCTGCTTAGTGTCCTGAGGACTTTGCATTGGGGCTTCCCAATAAGGAGCAATTCAAGAGAGAGTAACAGAAAAAGCTGTTTTTGTTATAGCCCAGTCTTGGGAGTAGATATCATAAAGTCACTTTCGCCACATTTCGCTCATTAGAAGCTAATCATTAAATTAAACTCGTTTTCAAGAGGAGAGGCATGAGGTTCTTCCACCTTTTACTTTTTTATTATTATTATTTTTAAAAATATATTTTATTGATTTTTTCACAGAGAGGAAGGGAGAGAGAGAGCTAGAAACGTCGATGAGAGAGAAACATTGACCAGCTGCCTCTTGCACACCCCCTACCGGGGATGTGCCCGCAACCAACGCACATGCCCCCGACTGGAATCAAACTGGGACCTTTCAGTCCGCAGGCCGACGCTCTACCACTGAGCCAAACCAGTTTCGGCAGGTTCTTCACCTTTTAAAAAGAATTTGTGGGCATACTTTAAAACCACCACATATGCTTTCTAGGCATCTCACCACCAAGGGAACCTCTCCGGGCTTATTACCGCCTCTTCCTCCCCTCCCCTTTCCTCCTCCTGCTCCACTTACTCCGTCCCCCCAACCAACCCCCAAGGCATCTCCGGACCCTCTGGGCATCTACATCAACGAAAACCCACAACATTCCTAATACAAGCATGCTTCCCATACTTGAACACACACCTCCCAGACCGCCTCCTGACCCGTATGCCCTCCGTGCTCTCCCCAGGTACCCCGGCTCCACATTTATGGATCATGTGTTACGTTACCAGGACACTCCAGGAGTCAAAATGATCGTGGTTCTTGGAGAGGTGAGTTAAAGGAAAATTTTTTTGATTGTTAAAGTTACGTACGACATCAGTTTTTTAAAAGTGCATGCATTTGGTTACGTATAACTTAAGGTGCCAGTCCCTGGTAGTCTCAGCCCTTAGACTTTGGGATGTGGGGATCGTCACTGTTAGCTCTTCTGTGCGGCACAAGATGTTTTAGTGCCAATAGAGGAGAAGCTTTGCACTGCTGACCATGTCTGCCTGGCGGGCAGTGGATAGCTGGATTGAAGAGTAAACGTGATTTTTTTAAAAAAAATATATATTTTATTGATATTTTACAGAGAGGAAGGGAGAGAGATAGAGAGCTAGAAATGTCGATGAGAGAGAAACATCATTCAGGTGCCTCTTGCACACCCCCTACCGGGGATGTGCCCGCAACCAATGTACATGCCCCCGACCGGAATCGAACCTGGGACCTTTCAGTCCGCAGACCGACTCTCCACCACTGAGCCAAACCGGTTTCGGCAACATGTGATATATTTTTTTTTAAGTTTGGGAGAGCCTTATAACCCCATCCCAATTTCTGGCTGTGCCTCCTGTAGGTCTGGTCCTAAATCATCCTACTCACAGGTTAGGAAGGAGGAGTCTCCGGGACTCGCCTCGAATACCCGTTGTCCCTTTGTAGTTCTTCCCTACCACTCTCAGTCTTCCAAGCTGTTTGGACCAAGCCCATGTCCCTTCATTTTTTAGACTCTGGCCTCTGCCTGATGTGGGACTGATTGTCCTGCTGCAGTCCGCTTGGAGCAACTCAGAATGGGTGCCCCCAGCTCACGGGCTTTTTCTTGTTCTCTGTTCCTTGGCAGATAGGGGGCACTGAGGAGAATAAGATCTGCCAGGGCATCAAGGAGGGCCGCATCACCAAGCCCGTGATCTGCTGGTGCATCGGGACCTGTGCCACCATGTTCTCCTCTGAGGTATGGCCTGTACAGAGCACTCCTGGAGGGGAAGGTGGGGCATTTGAGGTGGACTGTCTGGTCACCTTAGTGGCAGTTAGCTCTTTCAGTCCACCTCAGTCACTGCTTAGAGTGGGAGCACCCTGTGTCTGAAGGAAGTGAGAAGGCTTCATTGAGAAGTCAGCTGAGCAGAAGGGAGGACGAGGGAACAGGACACATTCCTGGTGCAGAGCTGGGAAGGAGACGAGAAGTTCTGTGTGGGGGGAGGTCACATGTGCATGATGTAATGTATGTGAACATGCCTGGTGGCATATAGTAAGTTCAGCATCTAACAGCAGGCTCTGAGTGTGAGGCCTTGTCCTGTCATCACCAGGTGGGCAGGGCCTACCTCTTTGGGGCGATTGATGGTGGAGCCCCATGATAGATTGCTTCACATAGGGAAGCCCAGGCTACGTGGCTGTGGCACTGCCGTGAGTGGGTGGGGTTGGGTGGGTGGGGCTTCCCTCTTCAGGGCGATCAATCATGGGGCTCCTGGACTGTGAGAGGACACAGGCCGGACTGAGGGACCTCCCTCCCCCTGAGTGCACAAATTTCATGCACCAGGACTCTAGTAAGAAAATAATTGTGAAGGTCTGGCACATATAGGTCTTAGCAACTATTCCTTTCCATTCTTCTTCCCTTATTCCATGAAGCAGTTTCTGACTTACTTTCTTTGTGCCCGCTTTCTCCTCCATGCCCCAATAGCCAAAAATAACTTCTTCCTTCTCCTCCACTGTTTCTCTTAACCAGCTTTGCATTACTCCACTCCACTTTGTTGAGGACACCTCCAGAGGGCAAGCATCTTACTCATCTGTTTCTGGCATCTTACTCATCTGTTTCTGGCTGGGCACTTATCATCATCCAATAGGTTGGGCAGGTCCTCGGAGGTGTTTTGGTTTTTGTTTTTAATGAATTTTTTAAAACTTTATAAAATACTAGAGGCCTCGTGCATGAATTTGTGTATGGGTGATGCTGGTATTGTGGGAGGGACTGTAGGAGAGCTTCAGAGCGTGTCTGGCCAGTCTTGCTCAGTCCTGATTGGCTGGACCCCAGCAGCAAGCTAACCTACCATTCAGAATATCTGCCCCCTGTGGTCAATCATAGCAACTGGTTGACCGGTTAACTGCCCCCTGGTGATCAGTACACCTTATAGTGAGTGGTTGAATGCCTTTAGCACATTACACTTTGATTGGTTGAATGGACAACTAGACACTTAGGATATTAGGCTTTTATTATATATGTGATGTTTGGATTCACATGACCTTGCAGAACTTTCCACCCTGTAAAGGAAATCAGATAAATCTCTACCTATTGGCATACTGAGACAGCTCCTTGGGAAAAGGTGGATTAAGAATAGGGGGTATAGGTAATGTGGCATTTTTCAGAAGTATGTTCCACAAAACACTGGTCCTGTAGTGATGGTCCTGAAAACAAACCCAATAAACAGAAAAGCAAAGGAGCTTTTATAAACTATGAATGTGCAATATTTCCTATCTCCCTTTTAACATTTTTTGTTTTACTGTTAAGAAATCTCTTGAGTTAAAGAAACTTGTTTAAACCCAGCTAGCATTTTCTAAGTTTATTTGAGTGAAGACTATCTTCTCATTCCCACTCCATTCAGTCATGCAAATTATGTCCTACAAAGGATGTACTGGGAACCCGTGTTCTAAGGATGTATTACTAATTGGAGCAGCAGCTGCTAACCTTTTCAACACTTAGGGCACCTTTTATTATATTTAGGAATTAAGAGCACAGCCAGAGGCCAAATTGCTGGGTTCAAATGCTACCACATATGCCTGTGTGACCCTGGGACAAGTTACTTTACCCCTTGGTGCTTCCATTTCCTTTTTTTTATAGGAAACATTCATAGTTACTGAAAGATTAAATGAATAAAATTTAGAGAAGTGCTGGCATATATAATAAGTGTTATTCAAACAGGTTATGTGTGATTACAATCACTCCCCAACCCTGTTCCTAAATCAGGGTTTTGTACCAAAGATTTCACTGGGTTAAGTCATTTTCCCTATCACTTACTTCAGAGACGTTGATTTTCTCTTCCTTCTCGCTCACTTCCCACAGTCTGTCAACTCCTATATTTATTTGGATTTGTATTTTACCTCGATAACATACTTAGGTGGAAGGCAGCAATTAATCATTGGCTTCAGGTAATTGTTGCTTTGTGGGAATATAAGCTTACAGCACCAAATTTGACTTTTAAAAAGCTGGGAATTTGCCAAAAATGGTTTGGTTCAGTGGATAGAGCATCAGCCTGCGGACTGAAAGGTCCCGGGTTTGATTCCTGTCAAGGGCATGTACCTGGGTTGCGGGCACATCCCCGGTGGGAGGTGTGCAAGAGGTATCACCCATAAACATCTCTCATCGATGTTTCTAACTCTCTGTCCCTCTCCTTTCCTCTCTGTAAAAAAATCAATAAAATAAGTAAACAAATCAAAAATAAAAAGCTGGGAATTTGTATTTTGACATGAAACCTTTTTTTTTTAAACATTGGTACCTATTTTACAAAAAAGTGTCTACGAGATAATCATATCATGTCTGTGAGCTCACTTCAACCTCAGATTGTCAATTTGTAGCATCCCTTACCTGTTGCTCAGAACTAATCCCTATCTTCCATCCCCCAGACCTCTGTCCCAGGGGAAGCCAAGGGAAGGGTCTGGGGAGTTGGGCTGCCAGGCTTTGTATCCTAGCTCCATCACATACCAGCTGTGTGAGCTTGAGTGCCAGCTCCTGAATGTGTTGATGTTCCAGTCTTCCATCATACCTGTTCAGTGGGCCTGCGTGGGGCTGAAGGAAGTGATATCTGAAGAGTGTTTGGCAGGTCTGGCCTGTAATGAGTGCTGTCATTTCCCAGGAGCCTTTGTTCCCCCTTGGGGATTAACAAGCCCAGTCACACCACTCTTCTTTGCCCTGCAGGTACAATTTGGCCACGCTGGCGCTTGTGCCAACCAGGCTTCTGAAACTGCAGTGGCCAAGAACCAGGCTTTGAAGGAGGCAGGAGTGTTCGTGCCCCGGAGTTTCGATGAACTTGGAGAACTCATCCAGTAAGTGAACCTGGGGTAGGAGCATCCTGGTCAACAGCCTCTCTAGCATGGAGGTGTCTGATACGCCGGGTCCGTCTCAGCAGCTGTGAGGATAGTCCAAAACCCTTTTTCTCTTTGGCTTTTGTTTGTAGAAGCGGCAGTTACAGGCCATTCACACTGGTATTGAACAAAACATGTTCACTTTCTTAACCTCCCTACTTGGGTGGCCATCAATGAGAGATGAGCATAGAAACATTTAGAAAGTGTCATCTCTCATTGATGGATAAAGAGTTATTGATAATATTATTGTCTCTTCCCATTGATCCTTTGACCTTACCTGGCCTCCAGATTCAACTTTCTATAATGCCCCATTCAGAGGTGATAGGGGAGTCTTGGCCAGAGCCTGTTTTCACTTGGGAATCCATCTGGTAAGTCTAAGTCACAGACAGGAAGCGGGTACAGAGAAGGAAAACCTAGAGTTTGGGTTAGATGGAGGAGCATTCTTGGGGTGGCTTAGAAAAGCCCAGAAGAAAATCCACATGGGTGTCTTTTCTCCTGCCCTTTCCCTGCCTCCCAGGTCTGTGTATGACGATCTCGTGACCAAAGGGGTCATTGTCCCTGCGCAGGAGGTACCTCCCCCAACGGTGCCAATGGACTACTCCTGGGCCCGGGTAGGTGCCATGTGTGTCCTAACTGTGTGGGCCAGGGAGATGTGGGGCTGAGGTGTGGGCTGGGAGGTGGCTTGCCTTCAATCCTTGGAAGGCAGGCCTGATCTAGTAGAGCAACCATGTGATCACTGCTCTGGGCTCCAGACCACACCCCTAGGGGAGGCTTCTCCGAGGGCTCAGGAGAAACCAGTTAGATTCCTGGACGCCGTCTCCTCCCTGTGTGCTGGGCTTGTGGGTAAAGAAATGCAGAGCCGAAGAGGGCAGAGGGCAGTGGGTATCTCCACAGCTGGGTTGCCTGACCTGGAAACGGGGGCTGGGGCAGACAGTGTCCCCTAGACTTGTTTGTGCTTCCTAAGAGATTTCAGGGTGCAGGGACATGGATGAAAAACTAATCTTGATATTTAGAAATCAATTTTTAACAGACCCAATTAGAAAAAAAGGTAGAAAAGGGCCTTTCAACAGTAAGAAGTACTCAACTCACTCATTATATAAGGAACCAAAGTAAAAACTGGGATACTACCTTGACCTAGTGGCCCAGTTGGAACTTTGTCCTGTACGCCAAAAGGTTTCAGATTTGATCCTCAATCGTGGCATGTACAGGAGGCACCTGATTGATGTTTCTCTCGCTCCCTTCTTCTCTCTCTAAAATCACTAGAAAAATATTCTAAGGTAAGGATTAAAAACAAACAAAAAAAACATCTTGATACTAGTTTTTCCCTATCAGCCCAGCGAAGATAAAAATTTGTCGGTAATGTGCTGTGTTGGTGTGGGTGTGAGGAAGCGGGCATTCATTCATTGTTGGGAGGAGTGGAAATTGACACAACCTTTCTGAAAGGCAGCTGGGTAGTATGAATCAGATTTAAAAGTGCTCCTACCTGCCGAAACCGGTTTGGCTCAATGGATAGAGCGTCGGCTTGGGGACTGAGAGGTCCCAGATTCGATTCCGGTCAAGGGCATGTACCTTGGTTGCGGGCATATCCCCAGTAGGGGGTGTGCAAGAGGCAGCTGATCGATGACTCTCTCTCATCGATGTTTCTAGCTCTCTATCTCTCTCCCTTCCTCTCTGTACAAAATCAATAAAAATATATTAAAAAAAAAAAAAAAAAAGTGCTCCTACCTTATGGCCCAGCGACTCCATGTCTAGAAAACGATTCCAGAGAAGTGTTTACATATACAGAGAAACGAGTTCAAGGCTATTTTCCTAGTTGATAGTAATCAGTGAAGGAATAGCTAAATGGTGGTATGGTCATATGATGGGCTACTAAATGCAGGTAAGGGAGTGAACTGTATGTATGTGTGCTGACACTTAGAGAGCTCAAGTTCGTTGAGCAAACACATTACAGGACAGTATATCTAATGTGATTATAAAAACTGCACACAAAATGCTGTTGCAGGTCTCCACGTGTTTATGCGAGCATGTAAACAAAAGTGGAGAAAGAAAGGCCCAGAAAGATGTCCACTAAACTGACAGGCACTAAGGCAGAAAGCTGGGATGGGGTAGAGGTCAAAGGCAATATAATTTGATCTGTTCTGTTTTAAATTTTTAAAAGATACTCATGTAATTAGAATATAAGTTAAAAACATTTTTTTAAATTAAAATTCATGGGTGATAATGAAGAAATGGGCTTGGACAATGTTGGCTGATGGTACCCCTGGGAACTGGGAAATTCAGGAACTCAGTCCCCACCCCTGGGTAAAAGGCATCAATTTCTCTTTCTTTCTTTCTTTCTTTCTTTCTTTCTTTCTTTCTTTCTTTCTTTCTTTTTTTAGATTGTAACTTTTTAAGAAATATGCTATTGATTTTTAGAGGGAGATGAAGAAGGAGGGATAGAAAGACAGAAATATCAATTTCTGTCATTGATCAGCTGCCTCCTATATGCCCCCAACTGGGGATTGAGCAGCAACCAAGGCATGTGCCCTGACCGGGAATCAAACCAGTGACCTCTTGGTTTCTAGGTCATAGCTCAACCACTGAGCCACACTAGCCAGGCCATTCTTGCATTTCTTAGCCAGGTGACTGTTATTGAGCCACTCTAAGATTCATTTCCTCTGTTAAACATGAAGAATGCTTTTCCTTTGTGAGGTTAGAATGAGCCCATGGATGTCAACGGCTTAAGGCAATGCCTGGCCCCACAAATGCTCAGTAGAGAACATATAGAGCTGAGGATAAGCAGATGCTGTGGGGTAGCACTCCTGTTTTCTTTTTACATACATATATTACTGGTTTCAGAGAGGAAGAGAGAGAGATAGAAACATCATCCCCTACTGGGGATGAAGTCTGCAACCTGGGCATGTGCCCTGACTGGGAGTTGAATCCTGTCCTCCTGGTTCATAATTCAAATGGTTCAGTAAAAGAGCTTTTGCATTTCTTGGGAGGAGCTTGTCTGTCAGGCCAGGTGGAGATGTGTAAGTGGCGCCCCAGCCCAGGCCCAAACCTGACCTGTGGAAGCTGTTCTTGAATACACAGCCACCAGAATTTTAAAATATTCCTGGGACACTGGTTCTGAGAGTGGAGCCGGTGGGGCAGTCCAGGAAATATTTCTGTGGTTACCATAGTGCTGCTTGCTTCTGCCCCGTCTCTGCTTAGGAGCTGGGCTTGATCCGCAAACCTGCCTCCTTCATGACCAGTATCTGCGATGAACGGGGACAGGAGCTCATCTACGCAGGCATGCCCATCACTGAGGTCTTCAAGGAGGAGATGGGCATCGGCGGGGTCCTTGGCCTGCTCTGGTTCCAGAGAAGGTGAGGCATGGAAGGCAGAAGTTGGGAGGGCCCTGCAAACCAGAGTTAATGATTTCCCCCTGATGGGAGTGGGGGTGGCAGCCTTCAGGAATAGTCCAAGGCCAGTCAGGCAATCTTTATGGCCACAAATCAGCGATAAGGCTAAATGACAAAAATACAGACTCCTATATCTTCCAAGAACAGAAAGGCCAATCTAAACCATGACTTAATCAGGAATCTTGGATCAGCCCCTTTCCCTTGGGAACTTACATAGACATGGGACTGAGTAAATGCAGGCCTCTTGAGAGAAAGATGAGGATTAGCAGGGGAGACCGGGACAGATCTGGTACCTAAAAGAGTGCAGGGTTGGTAGAGTTGCAGAACACGTGTGAAGCACCTTGTATCATTAGCCTGAATATGAGAAAAAAGTGGTTTTCTCCGCAACTCCCAAGCTTAGCCCTCCCCTGGGACTGACAGCTGGACCAGGGGGCCAGTGAGTCCATGATTCACAGAGCCCTGGTGGCTTGGTGTGGGCCAGGTGGAAGTCTTGGATTGTGTCATGCCCTTACCTGCAGAGGTGGGTCTTGGTCCTGCTTTGGGCTTCCTCGGAAATACTCATGAGCTGTCACACCTAAGCTACCAGGGCAGGTTTCACTCTGCTCTCGCGTCCCCAAGTCTGCAGGCTGCATTCTTAATCACAGTTGTTTAAGAATGTCAACGGCTTAGGGCAATGCCTGGCCCCACAAATGCTCAGTAAAGAACATATAGAGCTGAGGCTAAGCAGATGCTGTGGGGCAGCACTCCTGTTTTCTTTTTACATACATATATTACTGGCGGTCTAGGGCCTCCTACACTGTGAAAGGGACAAGGACCTCACCTCTTCTCTGTCTGGTCCACAAAGGATAGCCACAAATACAGATCAAACCTGTCATAGCAACTCATGCTGAAAACTGACTAAGGAAGAGATCTCAAACCCTGATTGCTAACTACTTAAAACCAGTATTTGTTCTCAGCAGAGTCCGGAGCCTCAATCTGGAGGTTTTGCGCTGGCGTTGGTATGATAGTATCAGACCTAGATTGGCAAGTCGCTGCCCTTCTTGAGTTTGAGTGACTTGTTCAGGGAGGTGGGAGAAAGTGGGAGCATGGCCTTGTATCTCCTGTTCAGCAGCTCACCTTGTTTCTGTTCTCCTTTCCCTGTCTCTCTACTCACCCGCCTCTAGGTTGCCCAAGTACTCCTGCCAGTTCATTGAGATGTGCCTGATGGTGACAGCTGACCATGGCCCAGCCGTGTCTGGGGCTCATAACACCATCATCTGTGCTCGCGCTGGGAAGGACCTGGTCTCCAGCCTCACCTCGGGGCTGCTCACCATTGTGAGTATCGTTTTCCCGGGAGGTGCACGGCAGGGACACGGGGCTTTGGGACCGTGCTGCTTGGCTATAGCAGGTCCTACCAGAAGCCCTGGAAGGTAAAAGCCTTTGCAGGGGCTGTTCAGGGCAGGCCAGATTGTCTGCGAAGTGGAAGGAGAATCACAGCTCAGAGCAACATGGGATCGCTTCTCCCACAGGGTGACCGGTTTGGGGGTGCCCTGGATGCAGCAGCCAAGATGTTCAGCAAAGCCTTTGACAGTGGCATTATCCCCATGGAGTTCGTGAACAAGATGAAGAAGGAAGGAAAGCTGATCATGGGCATCGGCCACCGAGTGAAGTCGGTACGTTCTCCTTGAGGGACTGGATGCATGGGGACGAGAGAGCATCATGCATCCAGTTGAGAACACCCAGGCTCTTGACTCCAACATGCAAAGCTTTGGACGTGTTGACAGATGAGAACGTTGTAAGACAGGTTGCCTTTAAACAATTTTTATCGTGCTTAGTTGTGGTGTTAAAATATGATGAGCTGGAAACACATCCTATGAACCTTATAAGAGAAAGGACAGGCCAGGGGTAAGGGGACATACCATCACCTGAGGCTAGCTTCGTGCTGCAGTAACACAACTCCAAGAATCTCGGTGGCTTACAACAGTAAGGGTTTCTTATTCACTCTACATCCCCCTATAGGATTCACCCGACCCACTGCGGGTGCCTGCTGCTCTGTTCTCTGTCATCTACACTGAAGAAGCAGCCCCTATCCGGGAAAAGTCATGGCAGAAGTTCTTAAAGCTTCTGCTTGGTACAGCTCACTTGCACTAGAATTTCATTGGCCAATAAAAGTCAGACATGGTTAAGTCTGACTCACTAGTGCAGGAAAAGCAAGAATTTCAAGGCAAGCCTGATTGGTAGAGGCCAGAAATTAATATTTTATTTATTTATTTATTTATTTATTTATTTATTTTTAAAATATATTTTTTGTTGACTTCAGAGAGGAAGCAAGAGGGAAAGAGGAATCAATATATCAATGATGAGAGAGAATCATTGATCGGTTGTCTCCTGCATACCCCACACTGGGAATCTAGCCCTTGACCAGAATCAAACCCAGGACCCTCAGTCCACAGGCCAGTGCTCTATCCACACAGCCAAACCGGCTAGGGCGGGACTCTATTAAATAGTTAATAGGGTCTCCCACCAGGCAAGTAGTCTTCTGTGTGTCCTGGTAGTGAGCTGTATTTAGAAATCAAAGGGAGCCTTGGCCAGTGTGGCTCAGTTGGTTGGGGTGTCATCCCATATGCCAAAAGGTTGCTGGATCGATTTGCTGGTCAGGGCACATCTCTAGCTTGTGGGTTCAATCCCCAGGAAGACAACCAATAGATGTCTCTCTCTCTCCCTCTCTCCCCCTCTCTAAAATCAATAAGCATGTCCTTAGGTGAGGATTGAAAAAATAATAATAAAAAGAAATTGCAGGGAAAGAGAAGAGGTAGTGACTGCTGTTCAGGTTCTTGCAGAGATAGATCCTTATAGGACCCTTTGCTTTGGGGTCCTTGGCTCTGTAGCTCTAGAAACCTCATTTAGTCAGTCACTCTGCTGGTCTAGGAGGGGCTTACGACTCACATCCAAACTGGGGTCCTTTACTCTGTGAGCTTTGCGGCCCTTTTCTTCGTACTGATTTTTGTTTCCTCCCAACTTTAAAAGCAACACGTGCTTAGTATAGAGGTCTTAGAAAATACAGAGAAGTAAAAAGAAGAAAACAAGAGGGTCAAGCATGTGATCCAGAACACCCCCTTCCAGGCATCCACACGCTTGGCCTGGACGTAGCCTCCGGAAGTTACTTGATCAGCAATGACTGCACTGGAATCAGGGCATGTGGTTAGTTCTGAGGGACATTCCACCCAGGTTTTGCAGAACTTTGCTCAGCACCCCCCCCAGCTCACAAGCAGATAGTATCTTTGCTATCTATGGTGCAAGACCTATTTCTGAGCTAACATCAGACCTGCACTGCCACCCTCAGTCTTCCTGGAGTCTGCACTGGCTCAGCAGCACGTCTCTGCTGAGGGGTGTCACAGTGGTTTTGGGATTTGGTGTGTGCCTTTTCCCTCTCACTCCCACTAACAGATTAGTGCTCAGTGTGGGTTCTTAGCAGGTGGTTCATCTCTATTCATTGCAGGTCCAGAATTTTTCCTAAAATTTCAGGGGTACTTGCTTAGTGTGGAACTTTCTTACAGCTTAACCAGGCGGCTGAGCTGGTGGGCAGCATGGCTAAGACTTCTGGTTAGAGAGTGGGTAAGCCCCTCTGGTGCTTTACATGGTAGGACGCACGGCTAACTCAACATCTTCAAGTCTCAGTTCCTTATTTATAGCTTAAAAGAGAGAATTTAAAAGGTGGTTTTGAGGCCCACGTGAAATACGAGAGGACTTTAAGCCCCAGTGTCCTAATCTGTGCTCCCTGGATATGAAATGAGTGCGTCTACCTGTGACATGAGCACAAACATACTCCTTAGTAGCAATATTTGAGTGAGTTCCTCTGTACCTTTAAATCTCTTTCTAGATAAACAACCCAGACATGCGAGTGCAGATCCTGAAAGATTACGTCAAACAGCACTTCCCTGCCACCCCCCTGCTCGACTATGCGCTGCAAGTGGAAAAGATTACCACCTCGAAGGTAAAAGAGAAAATGCCCCTCATTCTTGAATTACTTGGCAGAATCTCTTGGCAGAAATGAGGCAGCCCAGTTATCTTTTGATTGTGGAGCTAAAATTAAACCTGGTTTTCTGGAAATTTTTATTTCTGTTGCATCACTAAGTTCAACACACATGTACTAAGTGCTCACTAGGTGTCAGATCCTTTGCTAGACAATGGGGAATGAACTCACTAAGACAGTCTCTTCTAACCAACTGGGATGTTTTGGTAGGGGTTTTTTTAAATGGTGATCAGAATACCTAGTGTTGTAGTAGTAGTAGTAGTAGTAGTAGTAGTGAAAAATTACAAGGGGAATATGAAAAATAATGACAAATACTTTGAATATTTTGCCTTCCCAGAAACCAAACCTCATCCTGAATGTGGATGGCTTCATCGGGGTTGCGTTTGTGGACATGCTGAGAAACTGTGGGTCCTTCACCCGGTGAGCTTCGAAGCCCTTTCCTTCTTCATGGTGTTTATTGATTATTGTTGTTGTTGTTCCCTCCATATTCTGAAAATAATGCATGCTCATTATAGAGAATGTAGAAAATATGTAGTGTATAAAGAAGAACAAAAACTGCCTCCACTCCCACCACCCAGAGCACCCCCCTTTTCCACTTTGAAATCAGAGAACTAGCTTCTCCTGAGCACAAGTTGTACTGTCCATGGGGAGGAGGGCCGTCATGTGAGCCATTTTAAAGCCACGTGTTGAGCCGAAACCGGTTTGGCTCAGTGGTTAGATCGTCAGCCTGTGGACTGAAAGGTCCCAGGTTCGATTCTGGTCAAGGGCACGTACCTTGGTTGCGGGCACATCTCCAGTAGGGGGTGTGCAGGAGGCAGCTGATCGATGATTCTCTCTCATCGATGTTTCTAACTCTCTATCCCTCTCTCCTCCTCTCTGTAAAAAATCAATAAAATATATTAAAAATAATAATAATAATAAAGCCACGTGTTGAGCGCTGGCCGATGTGGCTCAGTGGGTTGGAATGTGGTCCTGTACATGGAAAGGTTGCAGGTCCCATCCCTGGTCTCGGTGAATACAGCAAGCAACCAGTTGATGCTTCTGTCTCACTTCAATGTTTCTGTCTCTCTGCCTCTCTCCTTTCCTCTCTAAAATGGTGGAAACATGTCTTCTCGTGAGGATTAAAAACAAAATAAAAAAACTACATGTTGATTGTGTGTTGCAGGGAAGAAGCTGATGAATATGTTGACATTGGAGCCCTGAATGGCATCTTTGTTCTGGGAAGGAGCATGGGCTTCATTGGTGAGTGAGTTGTTTCTGTTTTAAGAGTGTTTTAGGTGGGACTGTTTATTTTTTTCCCCTATGGCCCAGCTACACCGCTTAACCCATGTGGTGAGTTTCCACAAAAGAGATGTCACATTGACTTAATTGCTGTTTCTAATCCTTCCTTTCTTACCTTCATTTCCCCCTTATCTTTACCTTTGTTCCCTTGTCGTGGAAGTTACTTTGATTGCAAACCAAGCCTGACGTGTACCTATGGAGAATGGGTCTCGATTTACTTCCCCATTTCTTTGTATCTGCCTTTTTGTATTAGATGCATTTCCCTTCCTTATCCTTTCTCCTTCACCAAACTTTAATAAATTCACCAACTCAAAAAAACTGCACTTGCTCCATTTTAGGACACTATCTCGACCAGAAGAGGCTGAAGCAGGGGCTCTATCGTCACCCGTGGGATGATATTTCATATGTTCTTCCGGAACACATGACCATGTAACTGAGCCAGGCGACCTGTTGAGTGAAGTGAAGACAACTCCTCTCTTGGGAAATAGTGTGCAGACAGCTGGCACGGGGGCTTGCTATAGGATGGCCTGCGATGTAAACCCCTGGGGTACAGGGCGGAGACCAGCACCCACAGGCTATCACCGTTCAGTCCACACAAAGAAGCTTAATATTTTTTTTAAGCATAGAAATAAAAACAAAGCCAATATTATGACAGTTGCTCTGCTACGTGCTGTAATTATTATATAAAAGCATCTAAGCACTGTCAAGATAGTGTTTTTCCTCATTGTAGGGCTTTCTGATGCTTTTTCTTTTTTCCATTAGTTAAAAAAATTTTTTTTCCCCTTGAAGGAAGGGAATGAAACTTGTAAGACCTCAAGCAAGATACTATACATTTAAGGCACTCCTAATGTCTTGTGTTTCCATTTCCCCCTTTTCGTGCTTATATAACATTAAAAAAAAAAACCACCATGTTGTATTAATCTGATCTTCTTAGGGTCTTTTTGTGTGTTCTGTGTTAAGGGTTTGTTCGGTATCTCACTGAAACGTTCCGTATCGCAGACCAAAGTCTGCTTATATCGGGCTGAGACCACTGCATCCTTAGCCAGTGTTACAGAATATGTGGAGGAGTAAGTTAAAATGTAAAGTTGTAACATACATTTGTTTAAAATGGAAACGCAAAGCAAAAAGCTGTGAAATGTCTGTGTCTTATGTTCTCTATATTTATGCAACTGACTTGTCTGTCTGTTACTGAAGTGTGGTCCACGGACTCCTCTCCAGCCAGTTTGCATCTGTGATCCATAAGATTCTGGGCAGCTGCCACCTCAGTCTCTTCTCCGTATTATCATAGTCTGGTTTGAATAAACTCTATAGTAACAATGAATACCTACTGCTGTCTCATGTCATCCCTACCCTTTTCATCTGTATTCCTTTGAACTTTACTTTCTAATACTTTTACTACATGTATTTTTAAAAAATGTTAATCTACCTTTTTCTGTTTGTTTTAACAAAAGAATCTATCAAAAACACTATTTTCACAAACAAAATACCCACCCTTATATCTGCACCTCCCTCTTAGTGAATGAGAACCAAAGCTCTATCCATCCAGACACACAAGCCAACAGCGTTCCTTCTCTATCTGGTTGACAAGTGCTGTCAAATTATCCTTTCAAAAATAATTTGCGCTCTGACTGGTTTGGCTTAGTGGATAGAGTGCTGGCCTGCAGACTCAAGGGTCCCAGGTTTGATTCTAGTCAAGGGCATATATTACCTTGGTTGCGAGCATATACCCAGTAGGGAGTGTGCAGGAGGCAGCTGATTGATGTTTCTTTCTCACTGATATTTCTAACTATCCCTCTCCCTTCCTCTCTATAAAAAATCAATAAAATATATTAAAAAAATAACCAAGAGTTAAAAATAAATAAATAAATAATTTGGCTTCAGGCATACAGCATAATAATTTGGAATTTGTGTGCCCTGCAAAATGATCCCCACAGTAGCTCTAGTTACCATTCAGTTGGTCTTTCTTATCTTTCGGATGGATCCATATCTAGTGTGCTAGCTGTGCCCCTAGTTCTACTTTTCCCCTTACAGTGCATTCTCCATGCAGCCACCACTGATATTTTTAAAAACATCTCATTTGAAACCCTCCTTTGCTTAAAATTCCAAAGCGGCTTTTGGTAATCTTTTTAACAACTGTATGGAGAACAGTTGAGCTATGTAGGCCAAACACTGCAGAACACAAGCATCTCGTTTAATCCTCACAGCAGTCTTCCAACGTAGATACTATCACTGTTGTTATAACTAGTGGCCCGGTGCATGAAATTCATGCACATTAAAAGGGGGACCCAGAGTCAAGTCCCCGCCCACCCACATGCGTGAGAGACCCAGACCCAGCCACCCCCCAAACTCCATTGGGCTAGATCCAGACCCGGCTAGTCCCACCCTTGTCAAGCCCCACTGGGCAGGGGGCAACATCAGGGTCCCATCAAGCCCCACTGGCAGGGGGGCACAGCCTCAGGTCCTCTGTCAAGCCTCACTGGGTGAGGAGCGTGGCCTGAGGTCCCGTCAAGCCTCGCCAGGCAGGGGGCCACAGCCTCAGGTCCCCTGGCCTGGTCCCGGGGTGTGTGGGGGTGCGGCCTGAGGTCCCCTGGCATGGTGTCAGGGTGGATGCAGCCTGAAGTCTCTGTCAAGCCCCACCTTGTGGGGGGCTTGGCCTCAGGTCCTCCAGCCCAGCACTAGTATGGGGGGGCACCCTGAGGTCCCCTCGCCCAGCACCAGTACAGGAAGCGCACCTTGAAGTCCCTGATCAAGCTCTGCAGGGTGTGGGGCATGGCCTCAGGTCCCCTGGGCTGGTGGGGGGGTGTTATTGGTGGGAGGGGTGGGGGTCACGGCAACCCTGCTAGCGGTTCTCAACCTATGGATAGAGCCGAAGACCATCAGAAAACACAGATATTTACATCACAATTCATAACAGTACAAAATTCCAGTTATGAAGTAGCAACAAAAATAATTTTATGGCCAAAGCCGGTTTGGCTCAGCGGTAGAGCGTCGGTCTGCGGACTGAAAGGTCCCAGGTTCGATTCCGGTCAAGGGCATGTACATTGGTTGCAGGCACATTCCTGGTAGGGAGTGTGCAAGCAGCAGCTGGTCGATGTTCCTCTCTCATCGACATTTCTAGCTCTCTATCTCTCTCCCTTCCTCTCTGTAAGAAAAATCAATAAAATATATTTTTTTAAAAATAATAATTTTATGGTTGGGGGGGTCACCACAACATAAGGAACTGTATTAAAGGGTTGTGGCATTTTTGGTTGAGAACCATTGTCTAAGGGAACTTGGCCTCAGCTGTGGGTGTAGCTATCTTTTGTGATGGAGTGATGGTCAATTAGCATATTCCCTCTTTATTAGGTAGGATGGGTTCCCAGATAGTAACTTGCTCACCCTCATTCATGAGTTGCATGCCCAACTCATCCATAAGTTGAAGCTCAGTCTCATTTATTGTTTAATTTACTCCAAAGCCATTTTAAATCTTTTTTTTTTTTAAATATATATATATTTTGCTGAAACCAGTTTGGCTCAGTGGATAGAGTGTCCGCCTGCAGACTGAAGGGTCCAGGGTTCGATTCCGGTCAAGGGCATGTACCTTGGTTGCGGGCATATCCCCAGGAGCGGGTGTGCAAGAGGCAGCTGACCGGTGATTCTCATCGATGTTTCTCTCTATCCCTCTCCCTTCCTCTCTGTAAAAAATTCAATAAAATATATGTGCCCGCAACCAAGGTACATGCCCTTGACCAGAATCAAACCTGGGACTCCTCAGTCTGCAGGCCAACGCTCTTATCCATTGAGCCAAACCGGTTTTGGCAATTTTAAACCTTTACATACAAATCCTGCCCTGGTCGGTGTGATCTCATCCCAAAAGGTTCAGAGGGCTGGATTCAGGGTCAGGACACATAATCTAGACTCAGTCTAGAGGTTGCAGGTTCCATCCCCCAGTGGGAGGTGCCTTCGGGAGGCAACCAATGAATGTTTTCTCACATCGATGTTTTTTCTCTCAAAGTCTCTGTCTCTCCCTTCCTCTCTGTAAAAAATCAATAAAATATATATTTTAAAAAATAATTTAAAAAACCAAAAAATCCTGTATGGCCACCCAAGACACTAGCAATGGGTGATAATCTCGTGAGGCTTTTGCTTTACAAAATGCCCACGAGGAAGGACACGCTGCTCAATACGAGGGAGGATACCAGCCACCCCGCCGCCTGGGGGGCCGCAGACCTCTCACCGCCGAGAGCTCCGGCGGCGCCTTCCCCGCGGGCGGCCGGCGTGGGCGGCGCGGCAGCGCGTGCGCAGACGGCGCGGCCCGCGGCGCAGTGTGCGCCACTATTTACTCCCAGAATCCCTCTGGGTCGCACCCGAACGGCCGGCCCGTTCGGAGACTGCGGCGGCCCCCGGCGCTGCGGCGGCGTCAAGATGGCGGCTGCGGCAGTGGCGGCGGCGGCCGCAGCAGCCGCAGCTGCCTCGCTGCAGGTGCTGGAGATGGAGGGCATGGAGACGGCCGCCGCCGGCTCGGCCGGGCTGGCCGCCGAGGTGAGAGGCAGCGGCACGGTGGAGTTCGGGTCCGGGCCCTGCTTGTCCGCCATGGAGGCGAGCGGCGGCGACCCGGGCCCGGAGGCCGAGGATTTCGAGTGCAGCACCCACTGCTCGGAGCTGTCGTGGAGGCAGAACGAGCAGCGGCGCCAGGGCCTCTTCTGCGACATCACCCTGTGCTTCGGCGGCGCCGGCGGCCGCGAGTTCCGCGCCCACCGCTCGGTGCTGGCCGCCGCCACCGAGTACTTCACGCCGCTGCTCTCGGGCCAGTTCTCCGAGTCCCGCTCGGGCCGGGTGGAGATGCGCAAGTGGAGCTCGGAGCCCGGGCCCGAACCTGACACGGTGGAAGCCGTTATCGAATACATGTACACCGGGCGCATCCGCGTCAGCACCGGCAGCGTGCACGAGGTTCTGGAGCTGGCGGACAGGTAGGCAGGGCGGGCGGGAGGGGGGTGCTGGCGTCCGAGCGCCGCCTCCGGGCACGCGCCGGCGGCGGGGCGGGCAGCGCCTGCGGCTGAGCCCGGGGGACCCGGAGGACGTGCCCTCGTGTGGCCCTTCCCCGGGGGGCCCGCGGCGGGGTGCGGGCAGCTCCGGCGCCGGCCGCGGAGGATGCAGCCGGCCAGCCCCGCCGGGGCCACTTGCCTGGCTTAGGGAGTTCAGATCCCCGGTGCAGGAACAAAGGCGATCCAAAGGAAAATCCGCTTCTGGTTGTAAGTGCTGTGTGGATATTAAAAAGGGAGGACGGGGAAAGAGGGTGGTGGTGGTGGTGGTGGTGGTGGGGAAAGGGATGGTGATGGGGTAGACGGAAGACCTTTCTCAGGAGAGGACGTTTAAACCGACCTCTACACAGCAAAGATAAGGCATTCCTGGCGGCCAGCGCAGAGGCCCTCAGGCAAGATCCAGTTTGGCTTTAGAGAAGAAAGGGGGGGGGGGATTTAAAAATCCGGTGGGACTGGATCTAGTGGGTGAAGGGGAGACGGGTGTATGAAATGCGTTGGGATAGGAGTTTTGAATTTTTACTGGGTGAGGGGAAGCTGGGTGAAGAATTGATCTGATTTAAATATTTTAAAAAGATGATTCTGGAAAATGGATTGTAGAGGGTAGCAGGAATGGGTGCTCCAGAGACTGGTTTAGGGTGCAGGTGAACGAATGCCGGTTATAGAGATGGGAGGAGCCTGCGTGGGCAGATATTATGTTACAGATTCGTTATTTTAACAACTACCTATTGAGTACCTGTTATGCACCAGTTCAGACACTGGGTTCTAAAGATGCTGGGAATTCAGCGGGTGAACAAAACAGACAAAAGTCCCTACGTCATTGCACTCACATTGGTAGATGGACAAGAAATACGTGAAATATATAGCGTGTTGGGTGATTGTTATGGCTATGAGGAAAAATAAAAACGTGGTGGGGACATATAAAAAAGTGCCGATGGAGAGAAACTAGTATTTTTTTAAATTGAATAGAGAATCCCTCACACAGAAGACATTTTTGCAAAGACCTAAAGGAGGTGAGATGAATCCGTGTTGGTGTGCAGGCCCAGGTTTGGAGTGTATCTGGATGGTAAGGAATAGCAGGAGGCTGGATCAAACAGATGCTAAATGAGAGGGGTAGGAAAGGCCTCTGGGTGGAAATGGGAATAGATCCAGATCCCGTAGGGCCTTGTTGGCCTGTGGCAGGACTCTTACTCTGAGTGAGATGTGAAGGTCTGAGGCCCAGGAATGACGCATTCTGATTTGGAGCATTCTGCTATGTTGAAGGATGGGGCAGCAAGGGTGGAAGCAGAGAGACTAGTGAAGGAGGTTGTTGCAATGGTGGTGTAGAGATTTGGATTGGGGAGGGTGAAGTAAAGGTAATAAGTGCTTCAATTCTAGATATATTTTGAAGATAAGAGGAGATGAATTTGCTCATAGATTTGATGTGGGGTATGAGTAAGAGAGTGCTAGCTTTTGGACCCAAGCAATTGGAAAGATGGAGCTGTTGTTTTTTAACATGGAAGACTGCAGGAAAGCAAATTTGGAGGAAGATCAGGAGTTTGATTTGGGTCCAGGAGAAGTGCGAGTAGGCAGGTGGATGTCAGAACATATATTAATAGAATCTAATTGAAGCTGTAAGACTGGATGAAATTAGTTAGGAAGAGAGTGTAGATGGAAAAGAGAAGGGGCAGGACTGAGTCCTGGGTTTCTTCAGAATGTTAAAGAGAAACCAGCAGAGACTAGAAAGAAGGGAGCCAATCATGTCAGCTCTGTCAACCGTAACTGATCATTGATTTTGGCAATAATAGAGGGCCTTAATGACATAGAGCCATTTAAGATTAAAAAAAATTTTTTTTTTAATATATATTTTATTGATTTTTTACAGAGAGGAAGGGAGAGATAGAGAGCTAGAAACTTCGATGAGAAAGAAACATCGACCAGCTGCCTCTTGCACACCCCTCACGGGGGATGTGCCCGCAACCAACGTACATGCCCTTGACCAGAATCGAACCCGGGACCCCTCAGTCTGCAGGCCGACGCTCTACCGCTGAGCCAAACCGGTTTCGGCAGATTTTTTAAAAATTTTTGAGCGAGAGGAAAGGGAGAGAGATTTGAGATTTGTTGTTCTACTTAGGCATTCATTGGTTGAGTCCTGACTCAATTGCTTGATATGTGTCCTGACTGGGATTGAACCTACAATCTTGGCATTTTGGAGCAACACCCTAACCAACTGAGCAACCCGGCCAGGGACAAGAGCCATTTAAGTTAAGTCGTGCTATACAAAGAAGATCAGATCAATGTTATTCATGGACATATTTGGAGAGTGGTCCTGGGAGATCTATCCTCCCCCCTCTAATGTAGGAGATACTAGGGCATGTTTGTGTGCTGATAAAAAATGAGTCAGTAGAAAAGGAGAGATTGATGTCACCGGACCGGAGAATAATTGAGCAAAGTGTTAGAAACCAAGAAGCAGATAGGATTCATATTAAAAATGGAAAAGTTGGCCCGGCTGGCGTGGCTCAGTGGTTGAGCATGGAAACCACTGCGTTCAATTGCTCTATTCTCACCAATGAACCAGAAAGTGCACTGCCAGAGTTCGAGGTTGCATTTCCCAGTCAGAGCATATGCCGGGGTTGCGGGCTCAGTGGACCGCGCAGGAGGCAGCTGATCAGTGATTCTCTCTCATCGTTGATGTTTCTCTCTCTCTCCCTTCCTCTCTGAAAGCAATAAAAAATCTTTTTAATGGAAAAGTGGGACTGGGAAGGCATAGTGTAGGGTACAGCTGTAGGCAGTGTGGGTGGTGGGAAGATGAAGTTTCTGCCTGATGGCTTCTCTGAAAGTGTGAGGCGGGGTCATCCAGTAGAGAAGGGAGTGGAACAGGGTGGGGCAGTTACAGATCTGAGATGGGGGAAGGTGATTGCACTCACTCATGCTGTGTTTGCTTTTGCCAGGTGAGCTTGTGTTTTTCAGATTTGTCCAGCTTTATTAAGGAGTTGGGGATAAGAAGGAGGAGAGAACATTCAGGCAGTTTACTTACAGCACTAACTTCTCTCCGTCTGTCAGCTGCTGAGCAGCTGCCTTGTGTTAAGCACTCTTCTGAGTATCCTGCAGCTCATCTAATGTTATCATCAGCTCTGAGAGCGGATCACTCTCCTAACCCCACTCCCCATACATTCTGTTGGTCATGCCCACCTTGTAGGGCACTAACAACTTAAATCACAAGAAGTGCAGCTTGCAGTGCCCATCACACGGCAGATGCCTGGTGTATGCTAGCTGTTGTTTTCATAGAGCAATGGGGGTTCCTAACCCCCATCCAAGGGAATATGTGTGGGAACTACCTGGAGTGCCTGCCAGAAACAGGAGCTGGGAATCTAGGCACCCAGACATGTTTGAGAGCTACTGGAACTCACTACTACACCTTGTCTTTATGTCTACGATGTATTTTCACTGAAGAGCAGGTGAAGAGAGCCTGTGTTACTCATCTTTACATCATTGTTAGTGTTGGCTGATTGTTATTGGCACCAATTCAATGGCAACAGGAATCCCCAATTTAGGGCGTGGTGAAGAAGGAAACTTTATTCAGTGCAAAACAGCTCAGTTGTGATATGGCACAGCTGTGAAAACAGCATGGGCTGTAGAACAGCTCCATTGTGAGCAGCCCTGGGGCCAAGCCCTTCCAGCTAGATGCTCTGCTGGCCTCTGCTCTGCTCCTCCACGGTCTGCTGCTTTCTGTGCCAGTCTGCTCTGGCCTGCACCGGTCTGCTCCTTTGACACATCTTTGGTGTTTCAGCTCATCCAGGCTACCCAGTTTTTGGTGGGAAAGGAAAGTGTGCTGTCAGAGCCAGAGGGAAGCTGGCTTATTTGGGTAGTCATCCTTGCCCCTGGTCCCTGATTGGTCTGTCATCATGCAAATGAGGACTCGAAGCCCTCACAATTTGATTGGTCCAAAATGCACTGTCCTGATTGGTCAGAATAGAACCACCCTGGTTTGTTGGAGCTGCACAGCTCCAATTGGATGGGGAAAGCTTCAGTCCTTTTGGTTGAAATTGAATTCAGGAATACCTCTCTCAGGGCCAGCTCAGGTGGCAGAAACACAGTTGGTTCTGAGGCAAGTGCTTCAGTGCAGGCCTCTCCCTGAATTGAGAGGCCCCTGTGGAGACATGGTGCTAGGCTCTGTTTTTTGAAAATTAGAGTACGTTAGCTACCAAGAGCCCCCTCTCTTTCTCAGGTTTCACAATAGTTGTAACGATCATAATAATAAATGGTTACTGAATTAAGTAGGTCTGGACTGATGTATTCGTCCTTATATTGTTAAGGTTCTCAGTGAGGGGACTTTCTCTTTTTTAAAGTGGAGGTCTCTAACTGTACCCTTGGGGCTGAATTCTGCCAGATTTATGGGTTTGTCTGAAATGTGGTTTTGTGGTTTTTTAAAAAAAATTAACTTTAAACAAATTGAGGTAGGTAAGTAATTTCTAGCCAACTACATGCCAAACCATATTTCTTTTTTATTTTGATAATCACCCAAGGATAATTTTTCCATTGGAAAGGGGGCAAGGGGGAGGGAGAGAAGAGGCAGAGAGAGAAACGGGGATGTGTAGCAGGTTCATTGATTGGTTGCCTCCCTCACATGCTCTGACTGGGGCCAGGGATCGATCCTGAAACCCAGTTATGTGCCCTTGACTGGGAATCGAACCCAAGACCCTTCAGTGTGCAGGCCAACGCTCTAACCACCTGCCAGTGCTCTTTTTTACCCTGGACTACCCTGTACATGTTTTTTATTGTTTTATTTCCTGGCTTCTTCAGATGTTTGTTTGCTTTGCCACCCCTGCTTTAATGAGCCTGCAGCTCCCCCACTCTCCAGCACCTCCCCGCTTCATTTGTTGTCCTGGAGGAATGGTCTGGTGAAGAAGAGATTTAAATCTCGGACACAAAAATTCCACTTCTGAGGCCTGAGTAAACAACCTCCTGGAGCCACAGTTCCTATACCATGCAGTCAATGCTTACTAAAGCTCTTCACTGAGACCCTGCCTCATTGAAGAGAGGCTGGTCACTGGCAAGGGATTGGGGTAGGATGGTAAATTGAGATTTGCCTTTGCAAGGGCAAATTAGGGTGAAAATATCATAGTCCTAGCCGTTTGGCTTAGTGGATAGAGTGTCAGCCTGAGGTCTGAAGTGTCCGAGATTTGATTCCGGTCAAGAGTATGTACCTAGGTTGCAGGCTCCATCCCCAGCCCTGGTTGGGGCACATGCAGGAGGCACCCATCAATGTGCTTGTCTCACATCGATGTTTCTCTCTCTGTCTCTCTCTCTCCCTTCCACTGTCTGGGAAAATCAATGGAAAAATATTCTCAGGTGAGGATTAACAACAACAAAAAGGTGAAAATAAAGTATAGGACTGTTATACTTTAGTAAAGGATATGTCTGGAAAATCTTACATAATTTAAAATCCCCATTGTGTGCATATGTGTGTTAGATATATTATGCATAACATAATTATATACAAACTATATAAGTAATTGAAAACAGATCATAGATAAAGATGATTTTATATATGCTTTTAAACATACTTTTCAGTATAATCCATTTTAATTTGGGAAGGTTTGCTTTTTTTCAGATATTGTGCATAAAGTGAATTAAGGCTTACCATTTCAATTTGTATAATTCAGAGGCTCTCAAAACGCAGCTACATAACATGTACATTTGAAAATTAATCTTTCTTTTTCTTGATTTTAGGTTCCTATTAATTCGCTTAAAAGAATTTTGTGGAGAATTTCTCAAGAAAAAACTTCATCTCTCTAATTGTGTGGCCATTCATAGCTTAGCTCACATGTATACCCTGAGCCAGCTTGCTCTGAAAGCTGCCGATATGATACGGAGAAATTTCCACAAAGTAATTCAGGATGAGGAATTTTACACTTTACCTTTCCATCTTATTCGAGACTGGCTGTCAGACCTGGAAATTACGGTGGATTCCGAAGAAGTTCTTTTTGAAACAGTTTTGAAGTGGGTTCAGAGAAATGCCGAAGAGAGGGAGAGGTACTTTGAAGAACTTTTTAAATTGCTCAGATTGTCCCAGATGAAACCTACTTATCTTACTCGGCACGTCAAACCGGAGAGGCTGGTGGCCAATAATGAAGTTTGTGTCAAGTTAGTGGCTGATGCCGTGGAGAGGCATGCTCTGAGAGCTGAGAACATGCAGTCTGGTACAATCCAGCATCCTGCTTCTAATGTCTCATTGTTACCTCGCTACGGACAAAACATGGACGTGATCATGGTGATTGGAGGCGTGTCGGAAGGAGGGGACTATTTAAGTGAATGTGTGGGGTATTTTGTTGATGAGGACAGATGGGTAAACCTGCCCCATATTCATAATCACCTGGATGGCCATGCGGTTGCAGTAACTGAATCCCACGTGTATGTTGCTGGATCAATGGAACCAGGTTTTGCTAAAACTGTGGAAAGATATAACCCAAATTTTAATATATGGGAACATGTTTGTAGTCTGATGACACGGAAGCATTCTTTTGGGCTAACGCAAGTCAAAGGGAAGCTCTATAGCATTGGAGGACATGGCAACTTCAGTCCCGGCTTTAAAGATGTTACTGTTTATAATCCTGAGATTGATAAGTGGCACAACTTGGAATCGGCACCAAAGATTCTTCGAGACGTCAAAGCGCTCGCTGTCGAAGACCGGTTTGTGTACATCGCTGCCCGCACGCCTGTGGATCGGGACACCGAGGATGGCCTGAAGGCTGTCATCACCTGCTACGACACAGAGACTCGGCAGTGGCAGGACGTGAAGTCTCTGCCACTTATTGACAATTACTGCTTTTTCCAAATGTCTGTGGTCAATTCCAACTTTTATCAGACAGCATCATGCTGTCCCAAGAGTTATTCTTTAGAAAATGAAGAGGCAGTCAGAAAGATCGCCAGCCAAGTTTCCGATGAGATCCTTGAAAGCTTACCTCCAGAAGTCCTAAGCATCGAAGGAGCAGCCATCTGCTATTACAAAGACGACGTTTTCATTATTGGAGGCTGGAAAAACAGTGATGATATCGACAAGCAGTATCGGAAAGAGGCCTATCGATACTGCGCCGAGAGGAAGAGGTGGATGCTGCTCCCGCCCATGCCGCAGCCTCGCTGTCGAGCCACTGCTTGCCACGTGAGAATCCCGTACCGGTACTTGCATGGCACACAGAGATATCCCATGCCTCAAAACTTAATGTGGCAGAAGGACCGGATCAGGCAGATGCAAGAAATACATCGGCATGCCTTGAATATGCGGCGAGTGCCAAGCTCTCAGATCGAATGCTAGGTTCTCCAGTACATGAAGCTTAAAACAGTCACACACCTGTTTTGTGAAGCTGAAGATACCAGACTGTTACTTGAAAAAGTGTGTCAATAACTTATTTTCTACCTGAATGGATGATTGCCCCCTATAAAAGAAATATAGTTAAAATCAGAAGACTGGGAAACTGAATTCAATACGTGGTAATTTTTGTTAGCTTGCGGTCTTTTTCTGCCTTTGGTCTCTGTCTTTGGTTTATGTGTATGAGCTAGCTAACTAAGATCTTATTAAAGGCAGACGGGAAAACCAGGTGTAGTTAGTTCCTTGGCTGGTTTTCTGCTAAGAAGGTATAACTCCTTTGTCTTAGGACTTAGGTTTTGAATATGCTTTAAGCATCAATTTTATTTGCACATTTCTTGATACTCCTTTTCACTTTTTTCCGGAACGGTTGGTTTTGATAAGATCAGAATTTATGCATCGAGCCCTCATTTGCAAGAGGTATGTGCAATAGTAGGACTAAAATTTGAAGGAAAAAGCACAATATTTTAGCAAGATGATTTTAGAATTCTTGCTTTGACATTTTGTTTATCTAGAAATGCTGTTTTCTTTCCTTCTAGAAGAGAGGACTGGTGAGAAATTTGTAATTGGCTCATGCATTTTTTTGGAATATTTTTCGTTTCTTTAGCCAACTGGGTTATTGACTTTAAGCTGTCACTCTGAAATGATGGTAATTGGCACAAATGTTGATCTTTAGCTAATTGATTGAATTCAGAGGATATTATATATGTGAAATTTGTTTGTCTAAGAAGTATTATTGGTGCAGTCTGAGAAGTCAAAGGCATTAAAAATGTTTAAATACTTTTTTCAGGAATTGCAGGCTTATATGAGGATAAGTTCATGAGTGTAAATAATGCCGATGACAATCGACACTCAATGCCTTTGATTTTAAATTGTGTTCTAATGCATATTTAATAGAATCTTCATTCCTTTCTAAAATGTTTTTTTTTTTTTAAATGGAAAGAGAAGAACAATTTAGAGAAATGTTGTTAAAGAGAAGCCTTATTTCTCAGCCCCAATTGTTATAATGTCATATCCAGTTGCCCTAGACTTTTTTTTAAAGAAGACTTTATTTGAGCCAAACTGACCACAAAACTGGGAGAGGACCTCACGTGCTCCCCAGTTGCCATGAACTTTAATTGGAACTTTGCCTGAGCCTGGAATACCAAATTTAAGGGCATAATTGTGGCTCTTCAAATTTTATTTTTATTCATTCTTCTGATTCTTGTAACACACTCAAAAGCTTTATACAAATTAGCACTTGGGTTGACTATTTTAGCACTCAGTAACTCCTACGCTTACTGTTTGCAAGGTAGGTCCAGTATATTTTTCTTGTTTTCTACTATCTTTGGCATTCCCAAACACTGTCCTAGAAGTAGAATTCTAAGTGCATTGATTTTTTTTTTCCCTACTGCACTATAGTTAACCTCTTTATTAGTTATATCAAACACTAAATACAAAACAAAACAGAAATTTTAGCTCTCAGCTGCAAGACTACTACTAATGTTTAGCCCTTGGAGACTCTACCAAGAATTTTCCTAAAATTTCTAAATTGATATCACTACCTAGGACGGTTTTTCAACAAAATTGTTGGAAATCTGCTTTAAAACCATTTAATTTAGAAGGGGGTGGGGACCGGAAACTGCAAGTCATGTTTCTCTGAGGATATATTATCCCATCCCAACCATTTTCTCAATTTCTATGTATTTGTAGTTAGTTTAATAAAAGCCATTGGATTCTGAGAAATGCTAACTCTTAGTTGTGAGAAATCTATGCAAGTAAGACAGAAAAGCTCAATGAACGAAGTTCTCATTCCTCTCTGCTAGGTTCCTTTTCCTGGCAGTTTAAATCTTCGCTCACTCGGATGCCAGTTTCTCTCTAGAAGGTGATGCAGGGATTTGGGGCCAGTGGGTTTTGTGGGGGGTTTTTTTGTCTCAAACTTTTCTGAGAGTCACCAATTTATTTGGAAGGTTGTCTCTCTTTCACATAATATGGCCGACTTTATAACTGATAAGATTTAGGTATAATCTGGTTTTGAAAACTTGATTGAAATTGTTGTTTTTTAACTTAGCAGGCAGCCTAGGCCACGGGTGGAAAGAAGGGGTAAGTGCTTCCTTGCATGATGGTGTGTGCAGGTTTTCCTGACTACTGAATTTCTAATTTCCGTATCTGAATTCACGTGTGATTTCACATCAATAACTTGTGTTTCTGAAATAGCCTAACTAATTTTTTAATCAGGAAGGAAACCAGATTTGCTTAAATCTGTTCAAGGCTGACATTCTGAAGTTCCAAACTGGAAATAACTTCTCAGTGTTTTTGGAAAGGTTCTGATTACGAAGAACCTAAAATGGCTTTTTTGGGGGGGCGGAAATGTCCTTTTTGATGAAAATGTAAAGATTGTGTTTGGTTATTTAAGCAGTTAAAAATACAGCTTTAAAAAGGCAACTAATGTGTATTTAAGCAAATCTTGTTTTTGTTGCTTTGTGTAATTTGTGGAAGTAAAAGAGGAATTGATTATACAAAAAGTAACAACTATACATAACTTTGAGTGAATCTACTTCTATCTCAGAATGGTTATCTTAACTATACCTACCCCGCCATGGTTAAAAAAAAAAATCAGTGGTATATATTACGAATGTCAGTCATGAGCTTAGTGTTTAAGTATCTCACTTGCATTATTTGCATGATTAGTCTTGTGTATCTTGGTATCTTGGCTTTTGCTGTGCCAATTCAAAAATATTGTGCTAAAAAAATCTATTTATTGACATTTGTTTTGATCAGCTGGTTTTTGTGTAGTATTTCTGGGACCAAAAAATTTTAAATACTAACTTTTAAAATATAGAACAGACTCTTGGAACTGGAAAGACTGTTTATGGAAGATTTGTGTGCTTTTGTATATTAAATTCTTCAGGCTGCTGCTAAGGCAGTTTCTAGTGCACATGTTTTTTCTTCACGTTTCTTGACTAGTGTAGCATGTGGTGTATTTAAATATTCTCTGCTTCATAATTCTTATATGAACACTAATATATTGGTAGACAAGTAAACTAAATTGTGTATTTTAGTTACTTGGCCTAATCAAGCATAACCAAAGGGATTCTTTTTTTTTTTTTTTTTTTTTTTTTTTTGTACTTTCCTCAAATTAAGCTAACATGAAAAAGGTATACTGGTCACATTTCATGTCTTTTGAAAACAGAGAATTGTGAAGCATGTTCATCAGCCTACACTAGAAACATTGTTCTTTAACTGTAGAATATTTGAGAAACATCTCAGTCTCCCTTTTAACTGTCAAACATTTTGGCACAGTTCATCACTCCAGTTTGTTGATCTCTTGAGAGTAGTCCATTTTTGTTTTCGTTAATGTTCTGGTCATTGGAAACAAAAGAGCTCATAGTTGAGTGATGTATTACAATAACAACATAATGTAGTCATTTTGCTTCAAAGAATTTAGTTAGCCAAATAGCTGCTATTTATTGCTTACCTTTGTGAGGCTTTTGTCTGCTCTATATGACCATTTCTGCAACAGTGAAGCACATACGATAGAGCACTTAGTAACTTAATCCTCCTGCCTTTTGCACTCGTGAAAAGTAGTGCTTGCTAGACCTGTGAAGATCTTAGGATCTCTGTGCTTAGGGCTCATTGAGTTATTTGTGACATCAATACTTAGTTCCAGCGATGTACAGTGAGTTTTGGGGGCTAGCAGTATCCAAGCCCCTAATTTACTGAAAGAATAATTTTGACTATCTCCTGCAAGCCAGAGGAGATGTGGAACGTAAGACACTTTGAGACATGACGTTGTGTAACAGCTTGTTTTATGTTCCCGAAGCTATCTTGTTCTGTGTTAAAGCTACTAATGGTCTCGATCTAAGCTTTAAATAAACGTATTTCATTAGAGCTGGTTTGCATTGTGTGATTTTTCCTTTTAAGTATGTGCTGTTGAATGTAATTGCTTTCTTCCCTGAACCCTTTTACTCCCTCGTTCGTCCAACCCTTGGCTCCCTTATGGTGAACATTTTCCAGTACTCTTACAAGTTTAAACACTGCATTTATTTTAAAAAAGAATTAATTCTTATTGCTTAGACTTTTTATTAGCTAAGTGAAGAGGCTCATACAGGTAAGGTGCTTGTTGAAGCGGAGTACTTGACCTCATCGCGCAGTGCTAATCCTGTGAAGTTGTCCCTTCTGGCTGCGTACTCCCCGACGTTGGCCAGCCCCGGCACCACGCAGCAGCTCAGGGCACTGCGGTATATACTCATGTCGTGGGCGTCATACCACTCGTCAGTCTTTTCGTCATAGCACTCCACGTTGAAGGTGGTGGTGAAGCCGTTGAAGCCACCCACCACGAACAGGAGGTCGTCCACCACCTCGATGCCGAAATTGCTACGAGGGTTAAACATGGTGGGGATCGTGCGCCAGGTGTTGGCCACCGGGCTGTAGGCTTCTGCACTCCTGAGTCGGTTGGCTCCGTCAAAGCCGCCTACCTGTGGACAGCAACGGGAACAGGATTTACTGTTTGCCTGGACTCTGTTTCCCTAGGAGGCCCTCGGAGGGGAGGGCCAGTGATCTCACCTCCCTCTCCCGCTGTCTGCCATGGAACAAAACCTTTCCAAGTGCTTACCACTGGTCGTATGATAGAAGTTGGAGGGGATCGTTTTTGTGGTGGTACACGATCAACTCACCGCATATACGTGTTCTCCATAAGCGATTACGCCTATTCCACTCCTCCTGCTTCTCATGGGTGCTATGACTGTCCACTGATTACTCTCAGTGTTGTACACTTCGGCTGTGAACAGGCATTCATTTCCATTGAACCCACCACATATGTAGACCTGTGTGAAGACAGTTTAAGATTATTAAAATGGTTACCTCTGGAGTATGAACGGGTGTGTACATGGTGTGTGTATGTCAAGGGGGGGGTGCTTTTATACCATTCTATTATTGATTTTAGAGCGAGAGGAAGGGAGGAGAGAGAG